TGCCCAGCAGAGAAGTATGCTGATGCTGCAGATGACGTCACACATGGGATGACACAATGGTGTGGGCGAAACTAACGGACGAAGTAGCACTCCAAATTACTGCATATTTGCTGCAGCATATTTCACTTTTGCTGTGCAGCTGAACAGCGCTCTTGTTAGGGTAGGCTGGCTAATTGTAAGAATGAAATCATCCTAGGGCTTAGCAGTTTGATTGATTTTTTAACCCTGCTGATATGCTCTGCATTCTGCACAGCACAGTATGCTCATTGTCATATAATGCTGCCTCTGTTCCCTGCTTGTAAACATGTTTTACCATGGCTTTTCAAGGGTTTTAAGGGATTTGCAATTTCTGCCATGGCAACTTGTTCTGCCAGCTTCTTCCAGCACTTGAGGAAAATAATTTCTTACATTTAAGAGTAGTAATGGTGCCATGCCATGGCTTCCACTGTTCCAGAACTGTTCTAGTCTTAGGTGCCTCTGTTTATGATTGCCTATTTCAATGTAAATCAAAGATAACTGACTGCATGTTACAGAATGCAATAAACTAAAATTTTATAGATACATGCCTGAACATGCCTGGAATAAGTGTTGACTACATTACTCCATGGGGCAGAGAGAAACATTAATTGAGTTTAATGTCAGCAGCCTATGTAGCGCCATCACCTTTTTTCAGATAGATAGCTTCTCAGCTGGTATAACTATAGGTATGCCTAATATTACTTTTTATTTCTTTTCCCCAGCTATAATAAGCACTCTGGCAAAGCTGGCAAAGATGTGCACCCTGAGGATAACCTCATCCCATCTCTACTTTGTGGTCATGGAGGCAACCCTCAGCTCTACTCCAGGTAGGTACTGTGCCTTCTCTGCCCATGATTTTTCACTTGATGTGCTTTTCATCTTTATCTTCAAGAGAAATAAAAGACCAATCAAAGTTGCAGTGCTTTCTGACTGATGAATATATTGTATGTAATTTGTATAAGGTATTTTTGGGTTGTTAAAAAAGCAATAGTTGAACAACATGTACCTAGAAGTATTGCTTTTGTGCCCTGTCGTGTGATGTTGTTTTGGGTCAACTGTGCCTTTTACTGAGGAATAAACTGAATATGAGAAGGTGTGTTGTAAATGGCATAATAACGATGATCGACAGGCCCACTGGGTGGCATCAAAAAGGTCTGAAATGTTCCGCTGCTCTTGAGTCAGCGTAGGTAACTCATGAACATCGACGATACGCTCGCATTGCGGCGGCAGCCGTGGCAGGGTGCGTCAATATCAACAAAATATCCCTTTTTATGAATGTTGGACACATTGCGCCTCTGCCTTGTGCCAATTTTATCGCCGCCAGTTCTTTGTTTCAGGCTTGTGGTGCGAGCTTCAGCAAGGGCATTTCTTCAACGAGTTCAACATGGAAGGAGTCTCTCCTGAACACAATGAAATATATCTGGAACTGAAACCAGGTACATGGTAATCGTGAACTATACTTAATACTAACTATACTAGTATGATTGGTAGCAGCACAAGGAAGCTCAACAATCTAATGCAATTTTTGACATGGTTTCAATCGGAATTTACAGGTGACGACTCTTTTTACCCTTTGCAAAGGAGGTATTAGATGTTGCGTAGGACACTTATGCATTTTGCTTTACATTTTTCCTGTTATTTTCAGATAACTTGGCCAGAACTCTGAGCATTCTCAAATCAAGTGCGGCCGTCCGATCGCTGAAAATCAAGCTCACCAAGAAACACTCTGCTTGTCTTACGTTCGAAATCGAGTCGGTACGTATTATTCCGTATCTGCTGATAATTTGTCAGGCTGTTGAAATGAATATGACTTCAGATGACACAGTATGAGAGCCTCTATATATTCATATCACAATCCCTCGAACGCGCTAGGCTGGAGACCACCAAGCAGTGGAGATAGGCGCAACACACTGCGTCCTATCGCTCCGTCAGTTTCGGGACTGGTACGCTCCAACTCTGTGCTACCTCGAGTTCACACATTCCCCCTCTCTCTCTCTCTCTCCCTCCCTCTCCCTCTCCCCCCTCTCCTTTTCTCCCTCCCCTCTCTCTCCTCTCTTTCCCAACAGTCATTCTAGACCACTCGCACTGAGTCGCTCTCCCCTCTTCCACCCACAGCCGTCGCAGACCTCTCTGAGCCGTCTGTGTACCCACGACATCCCTGTGACGGTGCTGCCACGCCGTCTGTGGGCCGGTCTTGCCGAGCCGCGGCTGCCTCAGTTCAGCGTCAGTCTCGACCTGCCGGCGCTGCGCCTCCTGCGGCCCGTGGTGGAGCGGATGCGCGCCATCGGACCGCGACTGACCGTCTCTGCCAGCTGCTCCGGCCGCTTCGTACTGCGGGTCGAGTCTGACCAGGCGGTGGTGGCCACTCACTTTGGCCAGCTGAGGACGCACCCGGCTGGTGAGGATGGGGAGAGGGGCGTCAGGGGCCGCTGAGAGATGGGAAGAAACTTAAGGGGCCAATGAGGGAGGAGAGGGAACGGGTTAAGGGATGTGAATATATTTGGGGCCGGTGAAGGAGGAGATGGGATGTCAGGGACTGTGAGATAATTCGGATAACTGATGGAACATTGCTTATGGAACTGGTGCTTAGTGTTAGCGCTAGGGTGCATATAATCGTTCCACAAACTTATGAGCAGTTAATTATAATGATGATGGGCGCACGATGATATTGTTGGTGATGATGATAACAGTGACGAGATGACAGTGATGACGATGACAATGATGACAATGACAGTGATGACGATGACGATGATTGTGCTCCTTCGCCAGGTGACGAAGCTGCCGGCGGCGACGATGTCGACTCAGAGCACATGTTTGACGTCCAGGTGGAGATCAAGCCGTTCTCCATGTTCCTGGCCGGCGATCAGTTCCACCCGGCGCGCGCCGTCTGCAGTGAGTACCGGCTGTGCCCTGTCTCCTGTCCCTGCCGGTGACTTAGTAGTTACCATACACTAATGCCGTGTACCTTAAGCTGCAGTACCCCGTACCAGTAACCTTTCCCCAGCACACAGTAGCACAGCACGATGTGCTGGAACCATGTGCTGTTTTCCTGTTCTGGCAGCAGTATTTCGTGCCAGGGAACCTGTACCCATTATCGTGTAGAAGCACCAGTACTACTTAGCTGAGGTGCTGATACCATACCCTGGTACCACATACTATTTTTCTGGAGCTGGCACTCTACTGGTATCCTGCCTCGTCACTATTCGACCGTGATTCACGCTGGCCCCGGAGTACATGAGAACTGTAGTGAGTCTGTCATTTCTCTTCCCCTCGCTCTCATTTTCTGGCCATGCATCAGTCTGACATTCGACCTGAGGGACGCCATGTCCCAGTCTGACAGCTTGACAGCTGACACTGTCGATCTCCTCACCCTCCGCTCGATAATATAGTTCGGGACGTGCGCTTCGAAGGTTTGGACCGTATTTGAGTACAGAAACTCCCTAGACAGGTATCGACAGCAGCGGAGGATATGCCTTGGAAACTTTATTATATTTATTTCTTTGATCATGGCGTATTTTCATCAGTCTCTAATGCATGTGGCTTCATATCACCGGCGGCCGCCGTCTCTTACCTTTGTCCGAGCTTCCGGACGGCATCCTGGAAACTGATGGAATGAACAGAATATGATCAGTGACACTTTTCCTGGTGATTATTTGACTGATTTCTCAGCATCCTCTAATCACATTTGTTTAAAGATCTGCCTGTAACTATATCTTAACTACTTCGGTTAGTGGGTCAATCTTCTGATTATGGGTGCATTTTCAGATCTGGTTGAGGACCGAATGTTACATCTGTTCCTCATTCACGACGACATCACACTACAGTACTTCATTCCGGCGTGTAGTTCGTGAATCACCCGCTGGTGGCACCACAGTCGCGCCCGCTCGTCGCTCCATTACTGTCTCGGGACCCATCATGATGGTTGTGGCAAGCTGTAGTCAATAGACATCCACCGACAGCGTATGGTTGAAGATATCTCAGACGTCTTCTTGTTCAGCCGCTATTCCAGCACTGGCCGGTGACGATTGTGTCTTGGACGCTGACGTTCAAGTCCTGCATTCACGCAGTATGCGAACTGCAGTGTGTTTCGAGCTGTTGTGGAAATGGACGGGACTTCAGGCTGCTGCCTACGTCCGTGTGCTGCTTAGCGGATATGGGTCAAGGCCGGGCTGCCAGAAGAATCGTGGACAAGGGACTTGGCTGTATGTGAAATGACTCAGTTGTGTTCCACTGCAGACTTGTAGGCTGTGATATGATGCTAAAGCATCCTGCCTTGTTGTTGCCTATGTGTATTTTTTGGCATATCCTATGGTATGCCGTTCTTTGACATTGATAGTGCTCTGTTATGTTACCGTCTATCGTTGTTCTTTGCCTTTCTTTGTCTTCTCTTATTTATGATGCAACAATTAGTAAGGTTACATGATAGCAGATGGTACTGCGCATCGGTATGTTTTCGGCATTGATTTACCACTCACACTTTTCGGTGTTGGATGCTAAGACAACACTTCGCCGGCGTTCAGACTGTCGTGGACTTAGCCTTTCGATCTCCGGATCTGCCTTTCAAAGCCGTTTGTGGAGGAGATGTGTGTATTGACAGTCATAATAAATCACGATATTGACAATTTTCGAAACACAAGACGGACGCTGTGTTCGACAAGGCACTGTTTGCGAGGTACATATTTATACCATTTTTGCGCGATATTATACCAATAGCATCAAACAGATAATGTTAGGAAAGGGTGCCCCTCAAACTGTCCGTAACTAGAGCTCTGTGCAACGTTCGAACTTTCTTTGCATTGTCTTATGCAGATATCTGTCCATCGTAAAATAAACGACCCACCGACCTCATTGCACATCATATCACAACAGAAAGCTCCTCCGTTGCTCTACACATTCACATCACAAAGGTTACATAGTAGGTCAAGGCCGCTCTTCTGTTATAGGGGAGGGATAAAATATACGTATAGGATATAGGAAAGACTGGACAACAAACGTGACCATAATGTAATTCGCCAGGCGATAGACCTCTGACCCCTCGCCCGGCGACGGATGGGGCGGGCCGGAGGGTGGCCATCCCAGACTATAGACAATAGACATGCAGGCACACAGACGGAGCGCTGCTGGCTCAGTTTAATTGAATATATACGTGCAACAGCTGTGCTTGTTTCGCATTAACAGCGGCGTATTTTCGCGTTAAATCGTAGGTGCGTCGATCCAGAGTTATGGCGCATGCCTGGCCGGGTGCTGGGTCGTCCGCCACCGCCGTGGTGGTCCTCAAACCGCTGTGCCCGCTGGGAGGCAGGGGTGAGGCGCCCATCGCGGGTGGTCGGCCGACCGCAGTATCACAGCAATGTTCCCACTCGCAACGACGCCGGACTCCGACCGAAATAAATATCGATTATATATAACACTTCCAGAGAATAACACATAATCTTCGAGCCGTGCACGAATCCAACAGCTCTATCCGTTGCCTAGCCTCACCCCCATATCGCAAATCCATTTTCACTGCCCTAACTGCTCAAACCCAGTTCGTATTTTCACCGCCTGTAGACCAAGTGACGACTTTGTCCATTGTCAGGCCACACTACATCTATGGATAAATATGCAGATACACCGCGCTACGATACGTAAGGCATAAGGACGGTGTGTGCAAGGCTCGAGCTCTCTATCTCCCTACCCTGTTCGCAACATGGGCGCCTCTCGTGAGGTGTGGTGCGGGCCCGATAAAAGAACAGCCCGGTTACTGAATTCGGACCTTAGGGGAGCGGTCAACTATTCAGGCCCTGTATTAAGGCATTGTGCCTACAAGAACGGTCGCAGGGGCGTGCAATCCCATGCCGCTTAAATCATTGCTTCTACAAATGTCTGAATTCGACCTTTCTTTTTTATTCTTCTCGAGACTGGGTCTGGAGCTGACGCCTTGCGTTATTCCTCGTTGTTGCGAGCCTAGAAGGCCACGCCGGACCATCCTCCGGGGGAACATTCGCAGGCGACCACCTTTTTCCAGATGAGTTCCTCGGTCAGAGGGGATGGGCGGACCGAGTACACGTCGCCGTCACCTGTCAATAGGGGGAGGGGAAGGGGCGTTAGGGGTGCGGGTGCGCGCCCGAGCGGCACAACGCCGCGAACAGGGACGCAGCGGGGGTGACTATTTTGTGCGATGGCTGGTCGACTGTTGATTTTGAGATTTGGCCAACACCAGGAAGGGCTGAACCATTGTATGACGCAAATTCGACATCACGGCATGTCGTGATCCTGGTATTGTTTTAGTTCTTGATATCACGGTATCTGATGTGAAACAAGCTACTCACGCATCAGCAGCAGGGGTGTGTTCATGCCGCCGGCGTCCTCCTTGACGGCCATCTCCACGATCCTGTCGGGAAGGCGGGGAGGGATTCGGGTTACAGGTGTCCGGGGATGACAGGTCACAAGTGCGAGAGGAGAGACGTTGCAGGTCACGGGCTCAGCGTGTAGCAGTTCAGTAGTGGGTTTCACATCCCACAAGCTGCGCCGACTCATCGTTATGACTGGGGCTACTCCTTCGGCCGCTGACTACTCGGCACGGACCGTTGCTGAGGTTTTACCAGTGATCCCGTCGCCTCCCTCCCCGTTACCGCCCCCACCGCTCGGTACCCTTCTCACCGTCTGCATATGTCGTTATCGTTCAGCTCCATGCCGGGCGCGCCAGACACCTCCGCCAGCTCCCCGGTGGCCAGAAGGGCGTGCACCTGATGTCGGAACGACAGAGAACGCGGCCCGGTCAGCGCCGTTGGTCACAACGCAACACGGGGGGGGGGGGGGGGGGAGAGCTGGATACTCGATACTGGATACTACTACTAGTAATTTCATGAATGAATTATATTTTTAGCATTTATACATAGTTTCATGATGTTTATGACTTACCTTTTTATACTCCCAGCATCCCAGTTAAGTCCCCATAAAGTCGCTAACTAAGCGGTCCCAAATTGCACAATGCTCCACACTCCACCGAGTCTCCACCGAGCGCTGCTGTCGGAGGCGGTTGTGTGCCTCTTCAGCAAACCCTGCCCTCCTCAGTCCGCCCCTCACCTGAGTGAAGGCCTGTACGAACTTGTCGAGCGCCTCGTCCCGTCTGGTCTTGAGCAGCGCGCTGGCCACCTTTCCCAGCAGCACCATGCTCTTGTTCTTCATGGCGACGTCGCCCTCCCAGCTGTAGACGGTGAAGTTGTTGGCGATGCGGACCGCCTCCTCCAGCATGCCGGGTATCATGTCCGGCTGCAGCGGCATCATCAAGTTGAAGCCGCCGCGACGCTCGATCCAGCGCCTGTGAGACAGAGACGCGGCGTTATCTCCTTTCCATGGGCGCGACGCTTGTTCAGCCGAAGCTGTCTGAATTACATAAGCAGTGTTCTCTGGTTTAAACAAATAGTTATCGAAGCGAAGATGTTTGCTGGGCATTGTCATAGCTCCTTTCCGTCTACGTCCGAAGCGAAGGTGTTTGCTGGGCATTGTCATAGCTCCTTTCCGTCTACGTCATATCTTTTTGTCTAGCTGTTTGTGTGTGTGTGTGGGGGGGGGGGGGGGTGAGCGGATAAAGTGAATTTATGTATGTATATATTCACGCGTGACTCACTCTATTGCTTTGTCGAACTCGTAGGGTAGTCGGAACATAAACAATGCCGACTCAATATCGACGCCGGAGCTGAACTGCTTGATCATGCTTCTGACGTTGGCCACAAAGTCATCGCTGACTTCCTCGTAACCGGGGATCTGAAAAACATTGGGTGTGCTGGGTTAGTTGGTTTGCTGGTTGGTAATTTTCTATTGTCAGAGGAGGTAGGTAATTGCTCATTAGTGCCGCAAGGTGATTGAAACATGAATTTATTACATCTTCAGTGTGCGCAGTGCGCACTATATTTCGAAAATATGCTCGCACATTCACACTGGATAATGTAACTACATGTTCAACTCACAATTACAAAGGCTTGATCTACTCTACCTCAGTTGATCCCCACTGTTCTGTTGTTCTTTCGTGCATGAGCGGCGAGCGCAGACCTCCGCCGCTCGCCTAGTTATAATCCTGTCGCTAGATGGCAACAGTGCGCGCGCCTGGAGGCTATACTGTACCGCATACTGGACTGCTGGGAACTTAACGGCGCGGCGGCACGGCCAACAGCGGAAGAGAATTACGACAATGTTCGAAATTGACGGATGGTGGTGTTGGACTGAACCGAAGCGGTGATTGAACGGTAATGCCAATAATTACCTAACGTTATGATCGATGTTCATTTAACCAATAAAATCGACCAGCACCACAACGTAGAAAGCAGTTGCATCCTTTGCTCTGCACAAAATTGCGCATCTATTGCCTTTACTGACCTCCTGAACCGGCGATGTGCGCCACAGCAGGGCTTTGACGAACCGTCGGAAGTTATCGTTGAACGTCTCGGGGAAGCAGCCCGGCAAACGCAGACCCCGGTAATCAGCGCGTGCCACGTACGACATGACTGTGCCGAAGAACAGCTGAATCCGCACCAGGGGAGCCATCATACTGCGAATCACAGGCGGGGTACAGTCCGACCGGGGTAGTATGGGAGTACGAAATAAGTTTCGGGCGCCTTTCGATCCATTTGTTGAAGGCAGAGTTTGAATATTTGCGGTCGGCGGCGGCAGATTCTTATGTTACTTTATTCATAGATACATGTGAAATTTTGCTTGCTGAGCGCTGATGACTTGTTGAATGATTCAAGATGAAACATCGTAGGAGCCTGTAAGTCAAATATTTGTAAGTCGAGCTAAGGTATTAATAGTTTGTCACGACTCACGACTTCCCCTCCCAGACTCTCTTCGATCCAGTGCAGTCGCCCGGGTCGGGGGGTATGTAATGCATGCCATCCATGTCGCTGAGGTGAACCCACATGTCCGTCTTGTGAGCGGGACCCATGTCACAGATATAGACTCATCTGCTCTGGCTGGAAATTATACCGCTGATATAGACCCATATTCCGGGACCCTTGCATCTGAATGGACTCACGTGCTGGGGTGGTAGCCCATGCCGCCGCCCATTCCGCCGCCCATGCCGTCATTCCAGGACTGGTCCTTGTCCGGACTCCAGGTGGGCTTGTCGCCGCTGTATTCCATGCTGTCCATGCTGCCAGAGCCTGCTGACAGCAACGGCAGACTCGTGACAGGTTATTGACAGGACAGGTTATTGACAGGACGGCTGTCAGTGTGTGCTCACTGACAGCCGGCAGGTGACTGCTAGGTCAGATTTTCTCTACATGGAACTATATCTCTATTGAAGCAAAATGACCTTTTCAGTCTACATGGAGGTTGAAGAATACGACTTTTATCGCTTTGTTGTTCCTTTGTTGCAAATTCCTTGTTGCAATTTAATAATTAAGCACGTTGTTAATAAGATATGCTGCAGTGCGTCATCTATCGTCACATCACACGCTGTATAGTAATGCTTACCGTCGTCACTGTCCATGTTGTCAGGGAAGCGGGAAGAGAGACTCATTAGCGCATGGTTATTGATCAGTATTCAGTAACACTCAATTCAGTCCGCAAATACGAACATGTTTTCTACAAGTACTGCGTACAAAGTTATAAATGTTCTTAATAGGTACCGTAATCCACTTGTCCTTCACAGAGGTCACGTGCATCGCTGGGGCATTGCTGTGTGAGTGTTGGCTATCCTAAAGTTGTTTGTTTGAAGCACACCGAACGCATGCAGACACAGCAAGCCAAAGCGTCAAGCACTCAGCCTCATCACAGAGCTTTGGTAACGCCTTCCGTCCATTCGGGGCATCCCGGGCACGAACTCTCGTGCCAGTTTCGAGCAATGTGAGGATGTAAAGAAAGGTTGAAAAATATACTCCTACTCTGCCCCTACCCACATCCGGCAAAATGCAACCGAGGCAACCTTAAAACTTCGTTTTTATTGATGCCATAAGATTTTATCGCTGCTTTGCCCCGTAACACAAATCATCATCAAATAGGAGCGTTAGGAGGACGCGATGTCTGCCGAGCTCAATGCCGGTCTCGGTGGTAATTTGCCGGATTGGCTCTGGGACCCTTCAAAAATGGCTACGGTGCTGTATCGGCGGTGAGCTGTGCCTTTGAAGGTCGTTTTGGGTCTATTTTATAATTGGCCTTTTGTTAGTTTTGGCCTTTTGTAGGTAATTGGCCTTTTGTGCCGTTGCTATTATTTTTCTTGACTTTATATATCAGTTCTATTAATATGGTGCGCAAAGGTACGTGCCTAGTTTATCAAAGCTCAAATACTTTTACATTTCCACAGAACTACCTGATGCATGAAGCTAGAACCGTTGTCTCGACCAATCTAGTTAAATGTTTACACGAACTTAGTTGACTTTTGCTAGTCCACTTTACTTACCTTGGATATATATCTGGAATTGGAGCAAAACGTTTCTTCCTTTTCAATGTCAGTGGACTGGCATCACCACCGTCGCCAGTGTAGTCTCCCAAGCTATCGGGGTAGTCGCTGTAGTCGTATGAACCATATCCACTTCCGTAATAGTCGTATGAACCATATCCGCTTCCGTAATAGTCGTATGAATCGGATCCGCTTCCGTAATCGTCGTAGTCCGAACCTGAACCGCTGCCATAGTAGTCATATCCTCCCGAGCCACTTCCAGAATAGGAATAGTCGTAATCTCCTGAACCGCTTCCATAAAATTCGTAATCTCTTGGAATAGAGTAGGAATAGTCGTCTCCCGAACCGCTTCCAGAATAATCATAATCGTAACCTGAACCGCTTCCATAATAGTCGTATCCTCTTGAGCCACCAGCCGAATAGTCGTACCCTCCTGAATAGTCATAGTCTCGTGGGCCGGGTGACGAGTAGTCGAAGCTTCCTGAGCCACCTGCTGTGTGGAAGCTCCAGGAGTCGCCGCCGGGGTAGCCGGAGTAGCCGCCGCTGGGGTAGCCGCCGCCGGGGTAGCCGCCGCCGCTGTAACCGGGAACCACGTCACCTATCGGCACCCGGCGGTGCCCCCGTCCCTAGCGAGACGCTGTTGGCAGGATGGGATGTTGACTGAATGTGGAACATGCTGCTGTTAGTGGTGGTACCCGGCGACATGGGTGTCAACGAGCATAGTGCTGTCTGTCTGGGGGATAGGATGGGGTGGCCTTTACGCTGTACTTTCTGACTTTAGAACTGTTGTTGTTTCGCGTCACTTACAAGCACGGAAGCTGAATAATGCAAAATCGGTCCGCATTTTAGTGGTGATCAATGTGAAAATGAGGTCATGCGATCAATATCGAGCCCTCCCTCCATTTGGAACCTGGAACATACGTTTATTTCTGCAAGGTGCTACCTTATCTCTACCTATTTTTCAAGCGTTGGCTTTCAATGGAAACTGACTTCAATTGGCTGCTTCTATTCTCTCTCACCAACCGCGGAGCATCCCTGTCGGGAGCCTCGTGCATCGAGCGCCTGAGCGACTCGAACCCGGGCTCTGGCCACCGGGAGTCCGACGCTCTACCAACTGAACTACATATGGGAACAGCTAAGCAGTAACCATGGACAACAGAGCGGGCGAAGCGGCAGGGAATAAAACAGAGCAGGCCAGTCTCCACATACCTACCCGATCTCATTTACGAGTTGAAGGAGCGTTCATACAGCAGTTAGAGCTACCTCAGCCTAATCTTTTTTTACTCTTGACTGTAAATTTTGTAAGCGACGGTAGCCAAAGAACGGACAAACAGTACCACCAATTGATTACGGAGCGAGCGAAGCGAGCGTAGTCTTTCCTTAGATTAATTAATCTTTTAAAGATTAATTAAACTTTTTAATCTTTCCTTAGATTAAAAAGCGTCCGCCGGCCGGCCGGCCGTGCGGACGCTTTTGCGAGGCTTATATCTCAGCAACCACTTGACCGATTTACATGCGGTAATTTTTGTAGGGTAGCTTCATTCCTTCTACCAAGTATTGGACTATTCCCAATGCATGTGGGTGACCCCTTATGCACGTGCCACGTGCAAAACGAAGAGGTGTCAGTTTTGCAATTGTTGCAATATCTCGGTAACTACTGGGCCGATTGCGCTAAAAGTTGGCATGTAGGTAGGCACCCACTAGGCACTGCATATCCATGTGCCAGAGCTGGGGTGCTGCTGCGCGTGCGCACGTGCAGGGGTCGTTTCCAGATCTCGAGAACGGCTCGACCGATTACGCTCAAATTTGGTACACAGTTAGGGACCGGTTAGTAGGTTGCCGTGTACAAGTCAGTTGGGACCCATTTTGCACGTGCGCACGTGCAGGGTGCCGCTTCCATATCTCGAGAACGGCTGAACCGATTGTGCCCAAATTTGGCACATCGCTAGAGACCGGGTAGTAGGGTGCCGTGCACTGCACAAGTCAGTTGGAGGTACCCCCTCGAAATTTCGCACGTGCAAGGCCCACCCTCTCGCTCGCTCCGTTAGTCGCCCCTTAAGGCGTTATACTGGTCAGTACCTCCGGGCCGGTACTCACCCAAAGCTGCCGTCGTACCCACCGCTTCCCTCGTGGCTGTTGGGCGTGCCGCCAATCCTGTGAGCGCAGAGGAGGGACCGCGGGTCAGAGGACTATGCCACTGGCGGGAGAGGGTCTCAATTCAGTAGCACGTGATTTCAGAGTCGGATAAAGTCAAAGGCAACAAATGAAGTTATCTTCATTTGTTGAAGGCCACCATATCTGAACCTCATAGATGCGCACGGTCTAGCAGCTGGTTCATGACGGCGTCCTCACCCAGGAATGTGCGAGAACATGGACATGTCTCCGTGGATGATGGTGCTGAGGATGGTGCGCAGGCTGCCCTTCTGCTGCAGCATCTGGCCGATGGTGGAGGCCAGCGTGCTCAGAAGGCGCAGCTGGTCGTACTCAAACTCAGACTGAAACACACAAGGACGTGATACATTTTGTTAGACAGTCGCTATAGCCGACATGCGCGAGCTGATCCAAATTTCAGTGGACACACTTGACAAAGTAAAAAAAGCAAAGTTAGGTACCAAAAAAAGCTAGATCGTAGCTCATATTACGCTGGTGCAAAATTGACTTCTTGTAAGGTTTCTTGTGCACATCGATGCACACTCCCACTCGTATCTTGTTTCAAAATATTGATATTCACTTAGCTCACACCCCTTCTGGTATTTAGAATGGAAACTGAAACGCTTTTCAAATATGTCGTTGCGACTTACTTGCTTCCTCGCTCGCACCTAGGTTATCTGGAGTCGCGACGTTTTAACACCGGACCTGATTTTCTCACCCTCACACCCTTCCTGACTCCATGCAGGGTTGGCAGGGGGTGGCAAAAACTGGTTTTTGCCAGTGGTTTTAACCGGTTTAAACCGGCTGGCAGAAACCCTGGTGGCAAGAACTGGCAAAAACTGGCTAAAACTCAGATGGCCAAACCTACAACTTTTCTAGTTAGGAACGGATTTGAAATGTACAAATGCATTTCTGGTAGTTATATAGATGCACTAAACATTCTGAAGTTGCCTCATTACTTATCCCTGCTTAAAATGTCTATGCATGTCGGTAGACATTCACAACGGAATGTATTTCCATGTAAGGGGAGAGTGGGACAAGGCGGCCACGGTAAGTAGGGTGTCATGCGGTGCCGTGCGCATATCAGTGGCAGATACCCCTTCGCACTTCTGATTGTGCAGGACTCACCCAGTCACCCTTGCACTGGCTCATTTGTCACCCCCAAAAGGCATCTTACTATGTAGCTCCTTATGGATAGCCCATGAAAATGTTTCTGAGTTAGGTATGAAACATTTCAATGGTCAATGTCACAATTCTGTTTGAAAGCATAAAGCTTTCACCGAATTCTCCTTAAAATGTTTCCTGTTCAAAATCATGTCTAGGCATAGCATTGTGATATTTCTGAGTTTTTGCCAGTTTTTGCCACTTTTTGCCGGTTAAAACCGGTTTAAACCGGCAAATGGCATAAACTAGTTTTTGCCGGCAAAAATGCCAACCCTGACTCCATGTCAGTGACTCCATCCACCACCTTCATAGAATCACCCTGATATCCTCACACACATCATGCCCATTGCCCACCCGGGGCCCTGACACTCTGACTCACCTTGGCGGAGACACCGCTGATCACCTCGCCAGCACCGACCAGGCCCTGCGAGAGACGGCTCAGCACAGAGTGCTCCCAGGAGAGGCCGTGATAGAGCAGATCGGACACCCCGTCACAGCTGCAGGTACCGAAACGGACGGCGGTGGTTAGTTTCACTCGTTATCACATAATATTGATGCCACATCGGGCTGGCACATTGCCGATTTGCACTTCAAGTCAGATGCGCTTATGAATCGTATCTGCTTTATTATTACGGAATGAATGCACAGAAGAGCAATTAAAGGGACCCTCCCACCTTAACATTAGTTTTGAGTTGAGATAGCCAAGTTTGCGGCCAGGCTCAGAAACCACCATTTATCCTGGTCGCAACCCCTGCAGCTTTATGGTGTTCAAGAAATTTCTTCCTTTTACTTGCAGGGTGGGACCAGCGTGGTCCCTATCTCTCAAGGGCGGCGCCACCGTGGGGGCAGTGGGGGCAGACTGCCCCCACTGGCAGGAGGCCGTGGGGGCAAGACTATGTTTTTGCCCCCACAAAATTGGGCTGATGTTGAAATGGGAACAGAAGACCGGTGCAATATTCATGATAGGCGGTTATTAGTACGCCTGTTTTTGACGATTCCCGTATCAAGTGCATCAGCAGAACGTTCGTTCTCAGACCGTCTGTCGCATATCTCCTACTCCCACTCATTTTCCTACTCATTTTCATTCACCAGAAGGCTGCCCTCGAGCTTGACCTCGAGGAGGTTGAGAGGCAGCTTGTCAAAATCGGCCAGAGAAGAGTTCACCCTCTTTTGGGAACCCTTAGACTGAGACTGAGCTCAGGGAGGTATGACAAAATGTGATAGGTAGGTATGCATATCCGGGTTATCTGGAAATGTATATGGATCGCCCTAATAGAGCTTATCCTGGTATCAATCGTGTGTGAGAGAATCGCATATGTATATTCGCACTACGGTAAAAAAGAGAACTACATGCTTAAGCTCAATACGTATGCATGAAACCTGAAACCATGATAATTTCTAATTGGCAACATCTAGGGGCAAGGAGCTCATGGATTTTGCAGATCGGGTTATCAGACAACAGTCGGGTCACCTGAAGCTTGCCCCCACTGGCGAAAATTCGTGGCGCCGCCACTGCTATCTCTTAACCATTGCGGGAATCTGATGACGTCATCAGGCTTTCGAACGTCCGTTAAATGTTTGACTAAAACGTTTTGTAGCAGCATAGTGTTATATGCTGCTTTGCGCGCAACAAATGCCGCACTTTCAAATAAAGTCGCTAGGAACAGCGGAGATCCCAAAAAGTAAACAAAAGTAAAAGTCTAATATCTTGAAAACCGGTGAATATTTTTCGATGAAATTTGGTAGATATTCGTTTTTGCTCTTTCTGAACCGAGCGACATCACTTTCATGCCAATTCATTAACTTTTTTGAAGGTGGGAGGGTCCCTTTAAAATGGTATTTGTCGTATTTTACCCATTGCATTTCCCTAACTGAACACGAATTGAAGCCCTTGACTGACCCTACACAGCTCCAGACCTCAAAGCGATCTAATACGGGGCCCCTCGACCGATCTCACATGAGGCTATGTCGTCCGGAACTGACCTGCCAATGTCCTGGAGCCGGTTGGCCTCCGCCTGGATGGCGTGCGACAGACTCACGGCCTTCACCATATCCAGGCGCTGGCTGGCGGTCAGCATGTAGGCGGGCGGCAGCCGCTGGATCTCGGCAGTGGCGGCGTGCAGCTTGATGATGTTGGAGGGCATGGACGAGTAGCTGTGGTGGAGCGCCACCAGCGAGACGCCGGGCTCGGGCGTGCCGTACACGTAACACTGACCGGCATCAGCTGTCCGGGAGACGGAGGGCAGGGCGGGCTCAGCGGGCCTGTTTTAAACTGCTCGTCATATTAGAGGGTGAGTTTTATTTTACAGAACTGGTCAGTTCGCGGCGAGCTGTGCTGTTTGCTGTACTCGCCCATAGGAGTCATCAGTCAATTACAGTCAATTGAACGGATCCAAAGGAGCCGAAGCCATAATAATTCATTTAATCATGCATCGAGCCTGATGTATAACAGTTTTAGCACAACAATAGTTCACCGAACTTCCACAAATCAGACTCCGACCTCGTCATTTTTATCCATGCCAACTTTCTGTTCCATAGGGAGCATTTTCATCTCTCTATTCCGTCTCTCCCCACGCAGTCACCGCTTCCGTACCTTGGCAGGGACTTTGGACGCGGATGCCGACGGCGTTGTTGCCCCTCTGGGTGTCCGTGATCTCTCCGAGCGGGTCCACGCTGATCACGATGATGCCGTCCCCACACTGGTGCTCGGGCAGCTTCAGCTGGGTGAGAGTCAGTTCCACAGACGAACCGGCCCCGATCGCTGGCGGAGCGAGGCAGAGTGTCAGGAAGGGAAAGAGGGAGTTAGCAGGGAGGGAGGACAGTCGTGTGACTATGACAGGTTATAACAAACGTGATCTGTGCCTGACTGGTATTATGCGCATTTATGTGGCATTTGTATTCGACGAGTACCGATTATTCCCGAAGTGAGACTCTAATGAAACATGACGAGCGTATTAGTTTAACGACTTGCAGTGTTTATATGATTAAAAACAGCCGACGGTCGTTGTCGTTTTCTCATTCTCAGTGGTGGCGAAGTGAGCACGTACCTGGGCTGCCGGGCCGAGTCCGGTTGATGATGTTGTCGATGCTGATCATGACGTCTCCGGGTGAAGGCATCAGCTCGAATGTGGACATGTTGAGCGGCACAATTCTGTGAGCAGGGTACGCGCAGCGTCAGATGGGAAACGAAGCATCACAAGACAAAGTTTGCTCACGCTGTTTTGCTTATTCCGGCTGTCCGCGACGCAACATTTGACCCAGAGGATCGCTGATGCGTCGCACTGCTCTTGGTGCCTAAAGCCGCCAAAATAAAAGTCACCTGACATTAGGGCCTGTTCGGGTAATCGTGAAAATTTCCCAGTTCTAGCCAGGTATTTGTTATCTACCGTCGCTTTTCGGGAGCAGCAAAAGTGTTGGAAGTGTGACCATAGGTGGCGGAACGGGGAGGGCACTGGGGCACCGTGCCCCCTTTGATTTTGGCATTTTAACATTAGCCCTATGGGCGTTGCATGGAAAGAATGGGACAAAAAGTCAGCAGTGCCCCCCCCCCCCCACCTTAATTGAAGATGTTCCGCCGCTACTGAGTGTGACCGACCATTTTCCATCCTCCATCCTATCTTTCAGGTCACGGGTTTTGGCAACAGAGCGACGCATTGGACACTGGGCAGTGGGCAGCCGTTTAAAAATGTTAAAACATATAGAAAAAGCTAAATGTATAATGGCTACCTATATCACTGTCTTATTTTAGGTTAAACGTGTGCTAAATTGATCAATTGATTACATTTATCGTGTTGGGTTCGTGTTCTGTCGCGTTCGGGAGCGAAGCATTCAATTTCTCAAGAGTGTTGTCGGTGCTCATGTAAGGCCATCATTAACATGTCTGCTCCTTCAGCCTAACAATGGCGTGACACATTGGACTCGAGGGCCCACTGCTGTCCATTTATTCACCGTTTCCATGGCAACTGCACACCAATGGTGCCCACCCAAGCTCATCGACGTGTGCCTCCACTGTTCATCATCGCTCGTGGGCCGAGGCCGCACGGCCAGCATTGTTCGCCGGGCCGCTGTCCGCCTGTGACGTCACACTAGTTATGTGTGACGTCATCAACGGGCGGCAGGCGGCGAGTTCTGCGAACGGGCATCCCGTCGCCATGGGTACGCGTTCACAGACGTTCGTTTTGGAGCAGCACCACACTTGGGCTACAGAATACGGATGGTGGTCAATACGCCTTTCTGATGCGTCATTTCCAGTGAAGTGCTGCGGCTCCCTGTATTTTGCATGGCAATCCGATGAATAATAAACTGTTATCAACGGCTCCAAATTATTGCACACGAAACTGACTGATAAAAGTCGCCAATGACATGGTTGTCTGTGAGGTCTATGATACGTGAAGCGGCCATGTCATGGCATTATCGTACTGAACGTTGCTGTTAAATCGGATGACTTTGAATATACACTGACACTGAGGGTGCCGCCCACAACGCATTTCCGTTCCCATTCATTACATATGTCTGCGTGTAAGTCGCAAACGACGTCTTGTATCGACGGCGGAAACTGGGGCAGTGGGGTGAAACTGGGACATTGGCGTGGGGTACTGGATTATTGATTGGGTAAGACGGGAACCGCTCATGGCGAGCTACCCTGTCGGCTTACCAACCGCGCGAGGTGCAACCTGAAGTCTGTTTTTCGCTATAAATGCCCGAAACTATGATACTGAAGTCGCACCCTCCTATCGATATTTGTTTGTTTATTGGAGCTTTAGGAACAGGGCGCGTCACCTCCCATCGGTATATAAAGTGAATCTCACGACGAACACCTAACAACACTTAGGGTGTGCAGACAGTGGCTAACTAAACAGTGGTGCGGTCGGACACTGTTGTCTGATGATATCTGATAATCATTTCGCTGTTAAATTTTAAAGTCGTAACACAATATAACTTACGTGTTGTTGGAATGAAGGTAGTTGCGTTTGAAGTAGACCCAGATCCGGAGCGCGTCGGGGTCGGTGCGGGCCGACAGGGCCGAGCTGCCGTTGTTTCGAACCGCGATCCGGATGGCTGTAGGCAGACCAAGCATGGGACCGGTCAGGCCTCGGACGATCCACGCATACACGCGGGTCGGTCAGGACTGAGGCCACGCAGGGATTGGTCAGAACTGAGACGAGGCATGACAGATACAGGACGCAGACCACAATACCGGTCAGGGGAGGGTTGTAGGCTGTACAGTGAGGGATAGGTATGCATGGTGCTGGGAACCTATGGCTATAGATGAAATTCCACCGCGACCAGACTCGGTAAGATAAAATTCATGCAGGTGACGACAAACTGGCACTAGCATTAGGCACATATAACTAAGCATTCAAATGTTACGAAAAAAAACAGGTTTTAAGCCTAAAATTTCCTAGCTCAATAACGATTTTACCAGGCCCGAAGACGGTCATAACTTACGGATGTTCATCGTCTCGTACGGATTGAAGAGGAGCGCCCCGTAATTGTCCAGTCTCCATGAGGGATCAGCGGTCACCTCTGGCACCAGGTCCACGCCTGAGGAAACAGGTAAAGATGTCACACTGGGAGCAGTGCAGAACCGCCTCAGCGGCCACACAGGGCACAACAGTCGCGTCTGGCACCAGGTCCACGCCTGTGAAAACAGGCACAGCCAGAGGTCACCTGAGGGTCATCAGGTCCAGGTCTGTTGGAACAGTCTCATCTGTACGCTCCAGCCAGGCCCCGCCCATCGATCTGTTACAGACACTCTATTGCAACTCAGTCACCTCAAACTTCATTCCAATCCAGCCTCGTCCAGATACTCATCTTAAACCCATCAAAACTATCCGGAGTCCGGACACTCCTTTCCAACTCACATTCGTCCGGTGATCCCATTTCTCACTCACCAAGATCGTCGGGCCACTCTTTGCCCAAAACTAATTAATACACGTCTGGACACTCCATCCCCCACTCACCGGTCTCATCGGGGCACTCCATCCTGGCCGTGATGATGGTGTTGTCGACTGTATCCGAGCCGTTGAGCAGCGCGGCCAGTAGGTAGACAGTGCCGCACCAGCCGTCCAGGTAGGCGCGCATACCACTCAGAGGAATGTCGTCCAGCTCAATCGAGCGGATCGCGAACAGGTTACTCTCCGTAAACTCTTCTGCAGAGAGAAAACACAGGTTACATTTGTAAAATGCGACATGGACCTGACAGTCATGTTCCTTTCCAGTATCGTTCTGTTGAGGGAAGTCACTTGTCAATCTAGAAGGGATCCTGTAGAATTCCATTTGAACATTTCGGTGCTCTTTTTATACCAACATATCATTTTTTCATATTTCAGAAACAATCAATCAAGATAATTGTCCAGGATCCACGGTTCGAAGATTGCCGCCCGACCCCAGCCTGAGCCCGATTCTCGTGACGTGTAATGCGGTACAGCCTACCACCTCAGGAACATACCACTAGCGCCATCTATTAATAAAACTGGAAACTACGGAGGCATTCCAACGAGGCTCGGCATTCAATGGCACTTTTTACCACCGGGGATTGCCCCCATGTGTACCAACAGCCGAAATGGGCTGTTTTTTCTGGAAAGCATGCATAACCTCCAGTCGTCATTAGGTTCAGCCATTCGATGCCCGTGTCCCTCGGCTGCCATTACAGCTCTGTGTGTATTCGCTACGTCAGTAGTCCCATGCTGACTACCCCGGACGCCGGGCCGGTCGGTCACAACAGCTGCCGCGTCGGCGCCTTGACGGTCGTCGAAAGGGCACAGGTCGCATGGTCACGAAAACAGCGCATTTGTTCCTTCATGGCATTGGTGCCATGTCGCGCGGGGGTGAACTGTTTCTTGCTAAAAATGAGCTAGCACTTGTGGTGCGACTGCATGGCGGCAGGAATGCTTGCTGGAGAATCGATAAGCTGCTGTTGGGGTTCGACTCATTATCGTGGTGCTATACTGATACTATCTCACTAGTGGTTACGCCATCGAGGAGACGAATGGGTAGGTGTACCTAATAACGTTTACTCAGGCAAGGTGAATGTAAGCTGATAATGTTTATTTCTAGTCTCATTCCAAATTGATGGCCGATACAAAACACCAGAATATCCCTTTGCGCTATATTCTTTTAGATATTTACAGTTTTGACGTCACTTTGGAAGTTATGCTCCATCATCCATTTGTAAAATTTACCGTCAGCGCTCAGCTCGATAAGCCCCATGTGTCCGGAATGAGGTCCTTATGCAAGTAGGGAACGTTACCATGCCAAAGACTGATGTTGGCCTGGAAGGTATCGACCAATGGTCAACAGCCACACCGGGGCCTGCAGCCAGCGGTGCTGTAGACAATAAAGCCTTCGCCCGGGGTACACAGCGGATGGTCACAGTAGGTATTGACCAGCGGCATACAAAACCGGCGGCCGCGCGCGCCCGCCCGGACGGCGGCTGAATACCTGGCCGGCACCGGGCCAGAGCGCGTGCCGCGTGACGTCACTGGCCGCTAACGCCGACCGACACGAACAGGTGTGCCGGTGATAGAGCATTCCAGACGGACAGGTAATGTTGAGTGGTCCTTCTTCGATCGCTGAGAGCCTGAACGACGCAGAACGGTGTCTGAACTTGGCCTGGATATGGTGATAATTATCAGGATGGGGCTGTGAATACGAGTGGAACACCCCATTTGCTGTGTTTCATTTCAGGCACGAATGGACTTTTAGTCAGGACTCAGGTTATCATTTATTCGCAGCGCAGCATCTTAACCTGCGCCCTGCTGGGGGGTGTTTGAACACCCCCCGTGTTTTTCGCGAATATCTCAAACGTTTTTGGTACACCTTATAATACATCAATTCTACTCATGTTGTGAAAATTTCAGACCAAGATCATTCAAGGTCAGGTCTCCAGGTCATTTGAAGTGACCTCACCTCATAAAAACTTTCAATGTCTGCCATAGCTACACCGAGTGACCGATTGCTTTGAAACTTTCAGCGATTGCTAAGAGCAATAACATGTACAAAATATTTATCTCAGAATTTTTGATATCGATGACCTAAGGTCAGGTCAATTTTGCGACCTCTCCATTTTAAGTCAATGGGAGAAAATTGAAATGCGCCTCTTTTGGACGAAAGACATTATAAACACTCCCAAACACTGAATTACTAGTAATTTAGACACACTGAACATGAAAATGGTGTCCTTGACCACTGTTTATGCCCCTGAGGTCATCTCAGGTCACGGATGGTATCTAACAGTTTTTCGCAAATAACTTTTGATAGAGGCCTGCTAAAGCGATGAAAACGCCTTAGATGTGTTCAGCTCGACGATACGGATCGACTGATGATATGCAACATGACCCTTTCAGTTGAGGTCAAATTTTCAAGTTGACCTTTCAAGGTCAAGTTATAGTTCTTTCGATGTGTCTTGACGAGAGGAACATGATGCCGGTAAAATTAAGCTCGTACAAGGCTTGGGTCAAAAGTTATTGCAGAAAAATTGTTTCCGAAAAAATCGGCTATTTTTGCAGTTTTTGCCCCCTGCAGGCAAAACCGTTGACGTTAGGTCAAATCTAAGAGAATTACCCAGAAAGGGAGTTATAAGGGCTATCGAATGCGCTTTTCCGCAGCGTTGTTGCTCTATTGGTTCCCGAGTGATGCGTTGGCTTCTTGGAAATTGTCGACATTCGACCTGGAAATCGGCGAAATTTTGCCTTCAATGACCTTTGGTGACCTGACCTTTGACCTGACCAAAAAAGTGACCGAAGTGATTTCGTCATTATTTTTGACGCTCTTTCGAACGCCGCCTTCCGCATATCGCTACGTGGCCCAGGAGCCGAATTAGAAGGGGGGTGTTCAAACACCCCACCCCTCAGCAGGGCGTGGAAATCCAGGACCCCCAGCCGGGCGCGGGTTAAATCTTAGTTCGAACAAACGTATCAACTATCAAGCAATTTATTTGTGTTTGTTGTTAAGTGCTCTTGCTAGCTTGAGCTGTTACTTTTCAAAAACGGAGCGGCAACATATTGTTTATCCATCCGGCCACACTGCAGCCTTGTGCGGTTTAGAATAATGACGGTTAAATCGTTTATTCCGTGGGAAGTTACCGATACACAATTACTTTTCCATTTTGATACATTTATTCTTCTTTTGTTTTCAGCGGCCTAGCTGCAGCAATAACAGCAAATTAGTGCCATCGCTATGGATGCTAGCTATTGTGTACAGTTGGCGTGCCTTGCCCAGGAGACACAAAAAAGTACACTGGACCATCATTACACTTTCGAAGAATGCTTCAACAATGGAGCGCTCGCAAGCTGTCATTACACCAAACCATCATATAATGAAGACATATTTGACGTCATACCTGTTTTGTTGACGAGACCGTAGATTTTCGGGACGCCGAGGAAGGTGCCGTGGATGCTGCCTGACGTCCCCATGTCTGTCAGGGACTGAACTGCAAATGCCAGCACCAAACTGCCAACGGCCGCGGGAGTAATCTCGGCCCGCAGGTCACACGCGCTCTGCCGGGTCACAGGGTGACGGAAAGGTCATTGGTCACTCAGCGACACACGAGGCCATATCTAAGTTACACAATACTCAGTGCAGTAAACTAGACTTTATGTGACACGTACTAGAAGCATTAACTGGAATGGTGATGAGACGTGCTTACGTTTTTTTATTGTCGAGATATACGTGTGCGCCCTTTTGTACTTAATATTTAACTTATATATAAATGCACCTTTTTGTTCAATAGGACGTGCTAGATCTGAAATCGCCGGTTCAATAGGTAGCAAAATGATTACGGTTTGGCTGAGCAAATACTTTGCAGCTCAATTCTAAAGTGTCGTTAACGCTATTTATCCTGTTCGTAGTTGCGAGCTGCGAAATCATTGACCAACAAGCCGCCATCTTTTTTGATGGCGATTACGTTCGTTTTTTATTGTAACTTGCAAGCTTATTGGATTTCCTTTCCAGTTACAGTGTTCCTAGGCGATAAGCATGTCTACTGTCTTATTATTCTGATGATCAATTGTTTGGCATGTTATGTGCCGATTATGTTTTCAAAGAACCGGCAGTGCAAAGCATCACATACATCACATCACATACATCATGTATAGGGCCATGCTGTATAATTTGGGGCCTTTTCATTGGGATTATAAAATATGCTTATCAGCATACAAGGGCTCACCTAAGGTGTGTACACAGCTCGTCGAGACTACTGCATAATTCATGATAGGTACTCCATAAGCACAATAGCTGTTGTGACCGAAGTTTTAGTCATAAAACTAAATGCTGGCGCTAATGCAATGCCTTGGGAATCGAATGCCTATACGTTGCGTAAATAAAAATTTAGAGACCCTTAGATGGTCATATGCATATCAAGATAAGTATGCCTAGGTATGTATCAAATAGGTGTCAAATCAAATAGGTATGTATCAAATACTGACAATGGATTTACAACTTGGGGCTCTTCTATCATATTGGTAGCTCGTCAACGGTCAAACTGTTTCAGATCACATCGAAGATAGGAAGCAAATGATTTAAAAATTGTCCCGGCCTCCTGGTAAGTCATACCCATCCTGATCAACTAGAACTTAAGAATAGTTACCGTTTAGCATAAGCATAGCGAAAGCATCGAGCAAAATGTCGTTTTCGTCTTATCATTATTCTGTGTCATTGTCCGCAAAGCGCTTCGGCAGTTTGGAGCGAACGGTTAGTGACTGGGCGGGGCTGTGTTTTTGTCGTTGAATTATTGCCCACTGCGTCTAGCGTCGGTAGTGGGCGGGTAAACACAGTTAATTGCTCTGTAAAGATCACTGCCGAAGGGCAGTCGGCACCAAATGATTCGACCTTTCCCAAACTCAAAGGTCACTATACCAGAGGGACATACTTTTTGATAACTGTGTGAATGTGTCCTCAGAACGAACCTCGACGGTTGCAGGACCTTCACACGGATATGAAAGTTCGTTAGAGGGCAGGTGCTTATAAAGCAGCCAAAAATGTTTTACCGGTTTGCTGTAGGGATTTAGGGAGCATCGTGAAAATGTGCGCTGTTTTTCAAATGCCATTAATGGTCCCATGGTGGTCGACCCACCGTGTGACCCGTGACCTCTCACCTGGAGGGTGGTGTTCTTCCGGCCGATGAGCAGTTTCTCTCCCTCCTCCACGTTGTTACACCAGACCTTCAGCTGACTACTAGACTCTGTAAACAACGTAGTGTCATGTCAAGTAAACGTCACAGCAACAGAGCACCACTTAATTATGTTTACTCATAACTTAGTAGTCAGGCATGTTTGTATTTAACACACAAAGCGTAGGCTCTTAATCACGGTTATTAAGATATAATTACGATAATTTTGTACCTACATCGTACATTGCGTAAGTCTGTGTTCAGTGTAGCGGATACTTTTGTTTCTTACCTGGCATAGGGGACTCCGGTGCGACTGGCGACTCGGCTATCGCCAGACCAACGGCCGACACGAATATTGCCCATAAAAACGCCATTCTGAAATAGGAAGACCACATCATTTCGGTGTAGAGAAATTTATATTTTTAAGTATCCGGCATCAAATGTCTTCTTGCAGCCTAAGTGGCCTGAGTGGCCACACACGACCCGCCACACACGACGATCAATGCACGTTGCACAGTATCCTCACGACACCCGCAACAAGCCGAGTTTCTCTGCGACTTGGCCCGAATTCCAGGAAACGTATGAATTAGAAAAGAGTAAACCGCGCATATTATGGATCGAAGAATAGCTATGAAACCCGTGATGGGTGACGTTTTAGTGTGTTCTTAATGATAACATAGGAGTTTCTGTTCCTGGTAATTGTAAACACAGCAAATAATGATAAATAATGATGGAGTTTGTCTAAGTCACTAGCCAAGTTACCCCTAGTTATTCGTTCCCGACCTTAACTTTAACGAGACCAGAAAATTATGTGTAAACGCAGAAATCGAGGGGAACTTTTAACCCGCGAGTTGCTGGGCCCCACTTTTTTCGCCGGGCCATAGCATTAAAACGGCGCGCCGCAGGCTCGCCAAAATTTGGGTACCTGTAGGGAATAGATTGAAGTTTATTGTGACAAAGTTTCAAAACAATGGGTCGGAAAATTTTTTAGATATCGAGGTTTTAGTGACGTCATGATTTCTGAGTTTTCGACCAAAAACGGCATATGTTCAAAAAATCATATAAAATCACAGAATAGACATACAGACATGCCGTAAACGCCATTACACTGCCAATACCACGAACAATCAAATGGCTATCTTTGATTATTGATTATCGATCCGCATTTTCCAAAATCTTGAACTGAATCTTGGTAATTTCTCGTGACTACTTCACGAGTCACGACCATGATACATGCATTTCTTAAATTGAACTTTTTGAACCAAACATGTACACATATGATATAATGAATGTCACCATCGTGTTCTACGCCCAAAATTACCCATAAAATATGTGTCACAGGCTGCGAATATCAGTTTTGATTTTCGGGGATATGTGCCTACCCGGTTGACCTGACCTTGACCCTGACCTATGCTTGACTGACCCCTACATGGAATTGACACTCTTGTAGGCCTTATATGAAGGATTGTGCACCGTTTTGACAGAGTTTATGACGAGAGGCGCCCATTGCGAAGTCCTGAAATCCATGCAACTGAAAGCCTGATTTCAAGTGTTTGACCTAACCTTGACCCGACCTGTGACCTCAAAATTCAACTTAAAAGTACTCATCTGCAGCGTCTTGTCGCGCTTTTTCGTTTGCCGCCTCGTGCGTTTCGCTGCGCCTATTGGTTCTCGAGTTATCGGCTGGGGGTGTTTAACGCCCCCCCCCCCCCCTGCAGCAAACGGTGGGTGGCGAAATACCCCAGCAACTGCCGGGTTAACAGGACCTCTGATGTCATGTGACTGGATCGACCTCTGCCGGAAGTGGGCTGAGCTGTGCCGGGAAATGCTCGGAAGGAAGTGTTCTGCTACTGAACCTATAGGGCACTGTGAGTGGTGCACAAGTGTGGAATATGGATATACTTACGACTTACGAGCATGCGTGCATGTGAATGCAGCTGACGTCACCTGTCATTGGACGTAGACCTGTTAGCATTATGGAACTACAATGAAAGCCTATTCGCTATCCAGACACGGGCCGGGCCACTTAATAACTTTTAGTTCGTCTGTATCGCGCCGAAGGGGATCAAAGCATCTGATAACTGCTGCGCTCAGCTGTTGACTCGTAGGTTGGAATCTCTCCAGTTTTTTTTTTCGGAATTGCAAAACACGTCTCTTGTGATATAACATTCTGATTTTTTGACTTTTAAGATTGAAGATAAAGCAATAAGTTAGCATTTCTTCTCATTTTTTTTTCATTTCTGACTCTCGTCCGAAATCAACATCGAGATTCCCCATAGCTACGGCACATGCAAGATATCGTGGACTGTTATGGGCTGTTTGGCCCTCACCACATTAGTCACCAGTTTCCATCCAGTCTCAGCCCTGTCTATGTATTAATCCCATTTCCCTTACCTCGTCCTATGGCTGACAGTCGGCCGGCGCCCGGTAGCCGCAGTGCCAGACGGGTCGCTGAGCTCTCACCAGTCCGTCGGCGTCGGACGGTGCTGGGCCGGGGTGGTGTCTCGACCGGGCCTCGGCGAACAGTGCGCCGTACCGCCGCGACCGCCGGCGCTGGCGGTCCTCTATTTATCGGTCACCCCGGCGACACAGTAACACGGCTGGCGGACGCCGCAACATGAGCTCATGGTCAATGGGGAAGCCGAGTGGACGAGGGGGCGGCGACAGCTCGCCAGAGTCGATATTTGGGGATTGTTCCGACAGCGACGGTAGTTTCATAGGCAATGGGCAATGAACTTATCAACTTTAATGCAATAAAGTAGGTATCAAAAAGTTGGGAATGAATTAAAAAACATGTGTTGCTTTGAATGTCAATATTTTATTTCTCAACGAAACCTTACGTCATGGAAGTTTGTTTACAGTCGATTATTGTAGTCGTTAATAAACGATTATGATCGTGGCGTGTAGGTATGTACCTACCTATTCGATAATCATCAACGTGATAACTTTTACGGGTAGCACAGCATGGCAAACGGCATAGGCATAGCTTCCCGACACAGCGAAAGGGACATGCATCAGAATCCCTTGCTTAGGCTTCCACTTGCCCCACGCTGGGTCAGGTCACTTGACCCATAGCCGCCGGCCGTCCCCACCGATCACAGCGGCCAATCAACGGTCGTCATGAGCAAGGCAAGCCATGTGGGGGGGGGGGGGGGGGGGGGCAGCGGGCGGCGAAGGCATTTTCTAGACCTCCAGTGACGTGTAATTAAGCCTTCGCTGACATTGGACTATACATATTGCTGTTATAACGACACAGGGCAATTAACTGTCTAGACTGTCCATGGTTTTTTTTCGCAACAGTTCCTACCTACTCGTGGACGAAGACCACTTATTATTGTCATTTACGACACCCATACTAACGTAAACACCCATACACCCATACACCCATACTAACGTTATATAACGTAAAAATGTTTTGGATGTTTAGGGTTAAGCTGGCATGCTTATACATCATCTGAGTAGCTAAACAATGTCAATAAATTGAAGATGTTCTCGAATATGTAAATGATGGTGTTGTGACGCAAAAACAAAACAAAAGTAGCGATCGCCTACCGTAATACCGTTGATGTGAATTTAGCAGCATATATTTATGAAACCAGTAAAACGCCTTTTGGGCGAAGAACGAGCGAGCGAGATAGTGAGCCCTGCACGTGCGGAAGGGCGAGAGGGTACTTCCAACGGGCTTGTGCAAAGCACCCTTCTAACCGGTCGCTAGCGGTGTGCCAAATTTGAACGCAATCGGCCTAGCCGTTCCTGAGATCTGGAAGCGGCATTCTGCACGTGCGCACGTGCAAACGGGGTCCAAACTGACTTTTGCACGGCACCCTACTAACTGGTCCCCAACCGTGTACCAAATTTGAGCACAATCGGCCCAGCCGTTCTCGAGATCTGGGAGCGCCCCCTGAACGTGCGCACGTGCAACAGCACCCTAACCGCAACACATGGGAATGCATTGCCTGGTGGGTGCCTACCTGTATGCCAAGTTTCAGCGAAATCGCCCCAGTAATTACCGAGTTATTGAAATGGGAACAAATTTGGCACCTCTTCTTTTTGCATTTTGCACGTGCAGTGGGGGTCACTCACATAGATCAAGAGTGTCCGACCATTGGTAGAAGGGATGCAGCTACCCTAAAAAAATTACCGCAAGACAATCGCCCAAGCGGCTGCTGAGATATGGGCCTCTCAAAATCACTACTTTTGCAAAACAGCTTGAACACCCTTGACTTTTCACGTGGCACGTGCCACGACGGTCACTGAGATGTAGGTATACTGAGATTTTTCCGTTATATTGAAAAGACTCGCTTCGCTCGCTGCGCTCGCTCGCTCGTAATCATCGTTAAATACCGACGGACGTTCGAGCTACTCTTGGTCATGTTCTTCCTAATAGACTTTTACCTACCAAGGAATTGAGGGAAATAAAGCTGTATCACCTCGTTATGTTTGTCAAGGCACGAGCGTCGAGTGCAGTGCACTTCTCAGTACTCATTTTGCCCGTCTGAATGGGTATCTGATGTGTCGTCATAGCCGGCCCGACCGGCTGTCGAGGTATGTGACGAGTGCCTACCTTTCCATCAAATATTCAGCACCTTCTCCATTAGACGGCTGGCCACCGTTGGCAGCGCTGTCGAAGTATAGACGGATATATCGACAAAACAACCGGCATGATGGGTTCAACGCAACAATACCCTGAGTGGCCAATGCTTAGGGTCATAAGACGTAGTCGAGGACATACATATGTTTTCAATAGCGAGAATGCTTTGCTATCATGCCATCTGATGCTACTTCAGGGTTCGGAGAGGATTAATCAAGGCCATAGAACCACGATTTAATCTAACGGGGAAATAACATTGAGATCAAATAACGAGTAGGTACTTACAATTCGATGAATTGTATCTTTACCCTTGTTCCAGTCAGAAACGTTGATGTGAAGTAAAAAAAAAAAAACAACAAAATAAAAACAAACCGATCGGTTCTCCACATACGGCCCGGTTGAAGGATGAGAAGGAGATTTCGGCCTATACCGTCACCATTTCGTCCCTTATAATGCTAGGAAGTTTCGCCGAAAAAGAGCGTATTTGCCGTTACGGTCCTACGCAGTGACTAGAAGGGTTTCAACTCTGGGGTAGTCCATTTTCCGATTCGCTAACGTTTGATCGGAACTTATTCCTTGGGTATTGCCTGGAGAATAAGTGACCTATATTTTTTTATATGGAGGGAGTGGTCGGACTCTAGACCATACCCGTCCAAACAGCCCTGATGTGATCCATCCATCGCCTGGATGATTGCTCAAGGTAAACCTTCCTGACAGTCATATCGACACAATCGGTAAACAGCACATTGCGTCGTCCGGCTGCAGCCTTGGGCTGTGCGGGGCGGCCGTGGGCTCCTGCGGCGCAGCTTGTCAAAGGAGGCACATCGCCCGCTCCTTTTCAGGGCCACTGCCAGCCGCTATTGACAGCCGTGTCGACGCCGCCGTCTGTACAGAATAGAGCCGAATAGAGCCGCGGCCGACAGCGACCGGTAACAATACCACCGACCGACCGGTCCGATACCCGCCGGCGCCCTCAGCGGGCACACACAGATCGATCCGGCACCACGGCCGGTCCTCGTGCTGTTTGCCTCCGCGGCATAACTCATCAGCACCACAAAGAGCTGTTTAGACGGAGCACACGGCAGCGTGACCAATAGGCGGCAGGATAAATGACGTCATTTTGGCAATGCAATGCATTGGGTTTGGACGGCGCTAACACCGGGCGGCGCTTCCAACAACAAAGTTCAAAGGTTGAACATGCTGTTGTGTTTGAGGTGCGTTGCTATCAACAGTGAGTATTGAACCTATCTTGTTGGGTCGATTAATTTAACCCGCGCATGACTGGGGTATTTTCCATAATGCGAGTGACTGGGGGGGGGGGGCTCTCCAGAGCCCCCCTCCTATCTCCGAAACTACTGGGCCGATCGTGAAAATTCAAACGGCGTCTGATAGCCCTAGAAAAACTGTCGAGCGAAACCTATTTTCATTGACCTCGAGGTGACCGATGACGTCACAGGTCAGGTCAAAGTAAAAATTATCGACATTTTTGCTAGTTCACAATTTAGGCTCTGACCGCCGGACCGCCGGTCCGATCAGGCTCATTTTTGGTTTACGCACTCCTTGACGGATGCCTTAGATACCCTGAGGGTACCGAACTTTTACTTCGAATTTTTAAGGTCAAGGCCAGGTCATCCTAGGTCACGAAAATTGTACATCATGTATCGGTCACGTGACGGATGTTTTATGGTCCATTTTACTCGTAGATTTCGAAAATAGTGTCGTCTGTGTCATTTGAGGTCATTGCCAGCTGAATTTACCGGAGGTCAGGTCACTTTCAGGTCAGAAAAGGTCAAATTTTGAAAATGAAATTTTTCAACAAAAAAGGTGCCTATCAGATGCAGTTTGAGCTCAGGAACACGATGGTGCCATTTATGTTGCTGTGCGACGTCAAAAACGTACTGAAAATGGATTTGAAAAAATTGCAAAATTTTGACAATAATGCGAATAACTTGGCTATTTTTGAAGATATTGGGCTAAAACTTGCAAAGGTAGTTCATCAGTGTGTGTTCTATCACATATATTCCGGTTTTTGCGAAAGTCAAAAACTTTGTGAATAAATTAAAAAATATATTTTTTTTTGTAACTGTAAATAAGTATTTTTTCAAAAAATTTCAAAATTTCGAAAATTCGAGATAGCAGTTTGATAGCATTAGCTACGTGTATTTGTAGTCCACTCATGCAAAGAAAAGAAAATGGATCTAGCTTTAAAACTGAGCTCTTGAGAGCGTTTGCCGTAATTCAGTATTTTGCATGAAAATCGGCCGACATGACGTCACTCTGACATCATTTCCGGCCAAACTATGGTAGCTAGAAAGTTTAAATTTTACCACAAGGTGTCAAATTGATGCCTCTGAGGATACCGCAAGTTTCGTGTTGATCCGTCAAACGGTTTAGAAAATATTGCTGAAAAACGGGAGGGGGGGGGCTCTGTAGAGCCCCCAGTCATGCGCAGGTTAATGTGAGTAGGGGAGACCCGGGAGGTATGGGCCCCCTGGAGGTATGGGCCATCGCAGTTTTGAAGAAGTGTTGCGCATTTTTACACATTTGACGGTGTTAACTGGTAGCAGCCATTCAGTGATTACATCCCACGTGATTTTTAAAACCTTCCTCAGTCTTCTATGGCAATGAGCGGCGATAAAGCGTTTTTGCCCTCTTCGAGTAAAATACGGTACATACAGAAAATTCGTGATGAATTTGAACCAGGCTCGTTTTATGATGTCAGACCATCGCTAACATAAAGTTTAAAGCATGCAAATTAAGACTGGATAGACAATATAAAGCTTTCTTGCAAGATTATGAGCTGAGATGCTACGCACATTCTGGCGTCCTAACCGGGAGGTTCGGGCCACCCACCCCCGTTGATCCTAAATCAATAAAATGATGCTTTCATTGAATGTCCTCTTCAAAAGTTTTAGTTTTGTCGCGCAAGGTCGAAAATTTAACTTCAAATTTCATTCGAACGGAAAAATATTATTCATCTTATTTCATGGTGGCTGATTGAGTTCACCAAAACACATATGGGCTGGGCCTAAGTGACCTCCATGAAGCAAGCTGTTGGGCGCTTATGCGGTTCCTGGGCTCTAAGAGAGATCGAGGTAGATACCAGCTACGAGTATTATTCTCATTGTCGAGAAAATAATATGAAACATGGCACCGGCCCATACCTCCCAGGCCATGGCCCATACGTGCCGGTGCATTTTGATGGATCGAAAAAGCACATGATTTATTGAAAGTTATCTCGAGACAAAATAGTTGATCCCAGATGCCTAATATCAGGCACACGTTGCAGGCGAAAGGCAATTTCACGTACACAAAGTGAAAAACCGAGTCTAGCCACTTCCCACTGGAAGAAAATTGCCTTTTCACAAAACCGGCCCATACCTCCCGGGTCTCCCCTACATGCCTACATATTGGTTTGCTGATTGTGGTGCTTAACTACAATCACAAAGTTTTTAAAAAGTAGGCATACCCCTTTGGGCATACCCAAGCAATATTTTGTTGGATAAATGAGAGAGAGAGAGAGAGAGAGAGAGAGAGAGAGAGAGAGAGAGAGAGAGAGAGAGAGAGAGAGAGAGAGTGAGAGTGAGAGTGAGAGTGAGAGTGAGAGTGAGAGTGAGAGTGAGAGTGAGAGTGAGAGTGAGAGTGAGAGTGAGAGTGAGAGTGAGAGTGAGAGTGAGAGTGAGAGTGAGAGTGAGAGTGAGAGTGAGAGTGAGAGTGAGAGTGAGAGTGAGAGTGAGAGTGAGAGTGAGAGTGAGAGTGAGAGTGAGAGAGAGAGAGAGAGAGAGAGAGAGAGAGAGAGAGAGAGAGAGAGAGAGAGAGTCGGATGATAATCGACTCTCGAGAGGGAGAGAGTCGGATGATATAGGTACTCGAGTCGGATGATGGTGACCGTCCAGCCCAGAGGCCGGAATAGCCAATAGGGTTTGAGGTGTAGGTAGAGCCGAGGAGTATGATTTATGTGTCCCCAGGGCTGAGGATAGAACAGAGGGTACCGCATGAATTGCTGCAATTCTTTGATGGTAGATAAAATATGATGCGATTGCTTAGTAATTTTAGCAGAGTGGCTACCAATGCATGCATTACTGATGACAATTGACATCATCACATAAGTAATAAAGTAAAATAAACGGTAAATAAGTCGAATTTCAACTTTCACAATGACGACGTGCACACGGGTCACCAGCCATAGTACAGTCGTGTACAGGTTGATGGTCCGCTACTCTTTATCCACCGGGTTCCTATGGCTCAGCATTGTAGGTAGAGCCGAGGAGTATGATTTATGTGTCCCCAGGGCTGAGGATAGAACAGAGGGTACCGCATGAATTGCTGCAATTCTTTGATGGTAGATAAAATATGATGCGATTGCTTAGTAATTTTAGCAGAGTGGCTACCAATGCATGCATTACTGATGACAATTGACATCATCACATAAGTAATAAAGTAAAATAAACGGTAAATAAGTCGAATTTCAACTTTCACAATGACGACGTGCACACGGGTCACCAGCCATAGTACAGTCGTGTACAGGTTGATGGTCCGCTACTCTTTATCCACCGGGTTCCTATGGCTCAGCATTGGCAGCAGCCGCCTGGTACCGGTAGGCTGTGCCGCATGACCCGAGAGTGAAGCGGCACAGTCTACCCACGCCGTTTGACATCGGCTGGGGTCGCCGGGTGGAGCGCTTTGTAGACCAGCTGTTGCGTCAGACCAGCGCGGGGGCGAGGGGCTCGTCTCAGTGGTTGGCGTGGGCTGGCGAGTGGTGTGGGGCGTGTTGGTGGACCATGGGGGCTGGGCGGGTGTGTGTGGTCACTTGCAGCATTGCACATTTTGCGTCGCTTAACAATTGCATTCCTGTTTTTGCTAAGCACAATGCACGGAAGACCCAGCGAATATAATTTACTTTACTTGTGCATTGTGCAAAACGTGATTTGGCACGGTATCGAGGAAACCATAGGTCTTGTGCCACATATATGCATGATATTTAGGCAATACGTTTATGAAAATGGTAGATTGATCCTGGATGTCAATTCGTATGCTAGATGTCGACATGTATTAAATGAACGAATGAATCAATCAATCAATAAATCGACAATCGACATGTAGGAATAAAACCGTATCAATGGCTCGCAACCACTAAAATCAAACCAGATCCTAACTCGAAAAAGTAGCTAAAGCCCCGATGAGGCTCGAACCGGGACTACACGTTGAAAGTTTTGCCAATGATCCATCATCATTCCACCAAGCTAGAGCGACCGGCAACGGCAACCACAAAAACATTCATTGACTTTGCTACCGACCGCCCGGCCCCGCCGCCCGCCCGGTGTAGCTCAGCGTAGGGGTGCTAGACTGTCAAACTGACCGGTAGTGAGAGGCCCGGTTCGAGACGCTTCGCGTGCTGGATGTTTATTTCTGTGTGGGAGGCTTTGCGATTAGCCCACTTTTCAGAAAGATTATTTGGTGACTGACCTGTTTTCTTTCTTTGCTGCAATTCATGAGGAGACCGTATGGACCCTACCTGTCCTTCCGCACCCCACTTGGGAGATGGGTGTTTGACCCCCCTGGGTTTTGTGAATATCTCTAAAGCGAATTTTTGGAGGGTGGATTACGATCGGTTCTATGCGACAAGTGACCACACACACCCAGCCCCAGGTCCGCTCACTCCCTACCCATATCACCCCCTCCCCACACCACACTCCAGCCCGCCTCATCCACCGAGCCGAGCCAAATCGACAGGCCTGACCCTTACCCCCCCCCCCTCCCCCCAGCCGGTGTAACGCAGCGTCCGGTCAAATCGCTCTACCAGGCGACCCGAGCCGGTGTCATACAGTGTGGGTAGGTTGTGCCGCCTCACTCTCGGGTCATGCGGCACAGCCTACCGGTACCAGGCGGCTGCTGCCAATGCTGAGCCATAGGAACCCGGTGGATAAAGAGTAGAGGACCATAAACCTGTACACGACTGTACTATAGCATTGGCTTCCCCAGGCCGTGCTGAAGCCATGCGGTACAACATAACCTTCCAGGGGTTTACATGTAGCGCCATCTATGAACTGGAGCATATACTGCATGTACGCGATCCGCCGCCAGGACCAAGTCGAGGGAGACATCGGCAGACTGAATGCGATTATAATCGCAACGATGCTATTCTCTCGCAGAGCTCATGCCTCACACCTTACACCTATCGCACACTTTGTCCCTGCGTGCCAGAATCTAAAATGGACCTCCTCAGGCTGGGTCGAGGGATTTCATAATCCAGGTACTTGTACTGGCACCGTTATGATTCCCGACCCGGCCCGAGCAGAGCTACCCAACTGGTCACTTTCTGAATAGTGAAACACATAATAAGCATTACCATTGACCAGACAGCAGTCTTAAATAAAACTCGTAAGATAATGAAGTGAGGATAAACAACAGCGGCATCATATTAAAATGTATTTTACAGTACCCGAAGCTTGGCGGGTTTCTTGACTAGGAACGACTACACAACTGAAAGAATACCTAAACGAGTAACAATGGTACACCAGTAAATAAGTCAGCCAGCCAGCCAGCCATGACTGTACAGAACACCTTTCAGAGAGTCCAAATGCCGATCTCGCAAAGCTCAAACACATTAACTAATCTGGAAAAAAACGAATGAAAGTGAAACAGCAGTGAAGCCAGAATATCCAAATGACTCTTCGTGGCAAGCCATTATCGGAGATTCTGATCACATGAAACCAACATCTTAATCATTTAATCATGTTTCGTAAGTACAACATTGAAATTCATAACGGTGAAATCACTCGCCCTATTTCGATCGAGCGTTGCTCCTGCCAGGCTGTTGGGGGCTACAACTACGCCTCTCTATCGCGCATACGGTCTGGCATCAGTGAGCCGAGCCGCATGAGATATCCACACTGAATACACAGGACCCCAGTCCACTGGGTAACAGTCCTTGAACGGGAACAAAAACACCGCGCCATCCATCAGTAACGTTCACAGTTGACCACACCATTTCGGAGTCGGTCAATCACAGATCAGCGGAGGAAACGCTCGGAACGACTGCTTGTAATTCGTATGGTAAAATGCCATTGAAATCTAATTCGGCCTGTAATTTAGTACAGTATCGAGAGCAGGTACAATGCGTGACGGAATGTACACGAGATTTTAAGCCCTTCCTTTGAACAATCAGAAGACGATTTCAAAACAGCAAAGATAGGGAATGACAATATCACATCCAGAACGAAGTACGATGGAGTTCACAGTTCAATTGAACTAGCCCTGAGCCGAGGTTCTGAGTGTTAATCGGACAAACCTCACTAGCTTTCGAATGAGTGTTACATCACTCAATCAGTTCACTTCATCCCGCCCAAGATCCCGCCCTCCACAACAATTTCAAAGACAAGTTCTGGTCCCAACACCTGACTTCAGGGAGACAAGTCAGTAAAGCGCCGCTCACCGGCTCTGACTGTTTCAGATAAGCAGAGTTCAATTCGTCAGTGATGGCAGCTGCTCTCCATAGCCATTATATGAAAACATCGCACAATCCTTTCCATCACTACCAATGATGATCCTTGCTTGTCTCATCACTACCAATGACAATCCAGTACAGCGCGTGTCACTAAACAAGTCCTGATGGCAAGCCTAGCGGGCGACGCAGCGCCCACTTTTTACGAGCAGCGCAATGCTAGAAAGCGGACAAAGCGAGGGCAGCTAGACCTCCACAAGTCCGCAGGTTGATATGAGATGGCTAAGTACACGTATACAGTGAAATGAGATGCCTCATTGGAGCACGTCTTAGCCATATGTGACGCCGATTAAACATCACCATTTGCAGCTAACATAAATGAGAGTAACTGCCTCAAAGTTCGCTACACAGACTGACTAATGTCAATCTCAAAGTTCAAAGTTTATCACCGTTTCACCATCCACTGATAGGGAGCCTCTTTTTATCACCATTCCCAATCGGGCGTCCGTTTCTAATGACTTGCACTGCGCAGAAGCTCTTCCAGTAACGTTTGATTCATATCACACTTGCCGCATATCCAACTCACACTAATGTCCTTCGCCAGCCGCTGGGCTCCTCCGTGATGTCTCAGTCGCCCTCCTTACAGCTCCGACAGGGCATCCTGCCGCCCCGGCGGCCGGCCGTGGTCCCTCCAGCATCGGCACTCGCGGGCAGTTGAGCGGGCAGTATGGCACGTCTGCCAGGGAGGCCGCGGCGTCTCCGGCTGCGACGGGGCCCGGCCGACCGCCGGTCACCTCAGCTGCCGCCTCAGTCGTCTCGACCGTCGGCTTCTCCGCGCCTTCCGCGGGTGCAGCCTCATCAGCAGCGGCCTGAGTCTGCTCCTGCGCCGGAGCTGGCTCCTGCGGAGGTTTCTCGGCTTCCACTATCTCCGCCTGACACAGCGGACACTTGACCTGGACGAAAAGCCAGCGGCGCAGGCAGGCGGCGTGGAACAGGTGGCGGCAGGGCAGCCGGCGCGCCTCGCTCATAGCGCAGTAGCAGATGGCGCACACGTCTCCGTACCGGCGCAGCAGCTCGGGACTGGCTTCGGGCAGGGCGGCCGCCGTGCGGGCCACCGTCCGACGCAGCGCCAGCTGCCCCCAGCCATCCCTCAGCCGGCGCCAGATGTGGAAGTAGCAGTGTGCCAGGAGCACAGCAGCGTTACCCCACGATCCTCCGCCGCGAGAGGTCTCCCAGACGCCGGCAGCCACCACCAGTAGAGCCACCAGGGTCTGGGCAGCGCCGGCGGCCGCGCGGGTACAATAAACTACATCATCCAGATGACGCCACGGCTCGCGACGCAGGGCGTCGTACAGAAACACGGCGTAAACGGTCAGCAGACCGAGCGCCTGGACGGCTAGCGTCAGCGCCGACGACGTCACCAGCAAGATCCAGAGGTCGCGCTCGAACAGACGACAGAGTAGAACTGTCAGCCATACGGGCAGCGCGGCCAGCAGGAGACAGACGAGCACCACCCGAGCGTGGCGGCCGACGCGCCGGCTGCCCGACGCGCTCAGGGACAGGACAGCAGCCTCGGCCACGTCATACGCCACCTGAGCCGTGGAGGTAAGCGCGACAAACAGCAGTACAGCCATAACAGCCAGCCGCGCCGGCACGGCCAGGTGGATCAGATCCACATAGCAGGCCAGGACCAGAGCCGTGGCCGCCTCCACCCAACCGCTGTGTTCGGCCGGCCGCACGCGCAGGAGCCAGGCCAGTGCGCGCACTGCCCACCACGAGCCGTACGCCACCGCCGCGCAGAAGCCGGCCAGGCTGATGGGAGAGGCAGTAGCGCTGGCAACGGCGCTGAGCAGTACGATATACCACTCGCCCCGCACGCTCGGTACGCTCTCGGGTACGTAGGCGAAGTAGTATCCTTGTGTGAGAACCAGACAGAGCCAGTAGGCGAGCTGGAGACGCGGCACGAACAGCGTCGCGATCAGCTGTCGCAGCGTGCCGGCGGCGCCGTACACCTGGGTAGCGTGGAAGTAGTACTTGAGGTAGAGCTGCTGGTAGTAAGCTAGACAGGCCGGCGCGCAGCCCAGCAGCCACGTCAGGCAGTTGATGATGGTGACAGCGCAGGCGCAGTTGTGCAGCAGCAGTAACTCCGAGCCGGACGCCATGCTGGCCATCAGTGCCACCACGGGCAGCGCGTTGGCCAGCAGGGAGACTCTGCGCCGAGTGTCCTCCACGTCTAGCAGCACTATGACGGTGACGGCGGCCGTCAGGTGGACCGCGATGGCCGCCATCTGACGGCGCAGGAACTCCACCTGGGCGGCGGCGGCGGCCGCGTCGGCGCCGACCGCCGCGCCGCCGCCGGCGCCCGCCCAGATCTGCCAGACGGGCACCAGCCGGAAGTAGGCGGTCAGGCCGGGCGCGGCCGGCAGCGCCGCCTCGCTACTCACGTGGTAGAACGAGAACTGGTTGGCCAGTACCAGCACGGCGGCGCTGATGTAGTGCATGTACAGCCTGACCACGTACTCGAGTGGCAGCAGTAGAACGGCCGCCGCTTGCAGCAGCACTGAGAGACACGGCGGAGGTGAGAGTCAGAGGGAGGACGACGAGCGAGAGAGACAGAAACGAGCGAGGAGAGAAACATGAGCAGTAATCGCCACGCAATCTCGATGTGGCTCACTATCGCACAATACAATACAATACAATACAGTACAATACAATGCAATAATAACTTATCATGGAGACATAAAATACAGTAAGCAGAAGTCCGTCAAGAACAAGGGAAATCATGCGAACTAAGGTGCCAGGTGGTCATAAAAAATCCAATGCAAAAATCAATCTCAGCACTGCAGAGCAACAGAAGAGAACAACAAATACAATCCCCATCCTCATTCTTCCCTACCATCCTCGTATCCATATTCCATACTCACGCGAAATGACGATGATTGTGTTGAAGACGCCGAACTTGTCGTCCACCTGCGCGGCGCCCCAGAGCAGCGTCTTATCGACCTCAAAGCGCCACAGGTAGTCGAGCAGCACCAGGCTGGGCACACGCAGGATCACATCGGCCGCCGGCTCGAAGTAGCGCTCGGTGGCCGTGAGCACGGTGTGTCCCACAGTGCCGGCCTTGCTGAGCACCGACCACATGGTGGTGGGGTGGTCACACCGGCAGAGCGGACCGGCGGCACCGGCCCGTCAGAGGGGAGAGGCCCTCACCTGGCAACAGGGGAGGGAGAGTCTGTTGTCAGCTGCCAGCCAACAGAGGAAGGTTCAGCTTTCACATAGTTATGAAAAGTTTGGCTACATACCTGTGACACGGACTACAATCATGATGTTCAAGACAGACACACTGCACTGGAAGTTGGAATGGAAGGGCAGGGGAATGGGCAATGGGACATGATACAGCTTACAGAACATCAGACACTGGTCACCAAACAGTGTAACAGATCCAAACACCTGGGCAGGCCACAAGAGACATTGGTATTAGAGCAGTTAGTACCAGGCACTAAACTGCACCAAGACAACAGCTGGGGCAGAGCATGAATGGTGACTATTGGCTACTCATACAAGGTCATACAAGGTAACCAGAATAGGACAATGGTTACCAGGACAAGGTACTGTTTACTAGGACAGGGCAGTAGCTACTAGAACATGCCAATGTAGACTAGTCAAGGCACCAGATACAAAGTCAGGAGTATTCATGCACAAGACCTGGGCAGTGCTGGTACAGTTATAGTTATAGGTGTTTGGTGGGTGACACAATAGGGCATAACTTTGCATACTGGGGCTGTAAATTCAGGACAGGTTTATGGCTACTTGGGCACCAAGCAGTGCACCAGGACTTAGCACTGGTATGAGCAAGAGCATTAGGAATAAGAGGTGTGGACACCATACAGCTGGGAGGAATACTTGTCAGCATTGTCAAGGAGTGAATTGTTGGGGCAAGATATTGAACCAGGCCTGGGTCAAGAGATAGAGCTAAGCTTAGACTGTAAATGGATTGGAGGCAGCTGGGGCACTAGGGCAAATACAACTTAAACCCAGGCACAACCACTGGGGCCAGAATGCTCTGTGCCAGGCCCAGTTCAAGATAGGGCACACACCTACTACACTCATGGCCATTGGCCCATTCAAGCCAATCAGGCACTGTGTCAAGCAAGTGGAAAAATAACACTGGGCATGGCTGCACACACAAAAGTAGAATGCAGTCATGTAATTGCCCATCAGCACAAGTTTCACAGAAAGCTACAAAATACAATCCTTATTGGGCTGATCTCTCACACGTAATACCTACATGCCAATGCCATGGCATGCCTTGTTTTAAGGAAAGCACCGTAGTTTCGTGCAACTTTGACCACCAAGGGCAACTTTGGCCCACTCCTGGAAAACAAACTTATTTTGCTGTAACTTTTTGCAATTAAGGGAAAGTGAAGTAAAACGGTAAGGGAAGCCTACCCTGACCGTCTTACCCCACTTTCCCTTGAGTGTAAAACGTTACGGCAAAATAAATTCGTTTTCCAGGAGTGAGCCAAGTTGCCCTTGGTGGTCAAAGTTGCACGGAACTACGGCATATGCTAGGTGTCAAGTGAAGAAGTCTGAAGTGTGAAGATGCTTTCAAAATCTGTGCATATATGTAGGCCTCACAATTCCACGTTAACAGACAGGGGTCCAGTGATGGGCTGTGACCTTGAGGCGGCCACCAGTTTAATATGTGAATATGTCACAACTCACAAATGTACTATTGATCATTGATGCAGGAACATGTGAGGTTAGAGGTATAAGGCCGCTTGAACATTAAATGCACCTTTTTATTCATATTACATACTTTCGAATCATACCATCCACTAACATTTAAAAAATCAAGACTAAAAAGGTTAACCTAAACACCCAATCCCCAACCCAAGGTCAAGATAAGCATCAACCTAACCTGAAAGATTACCTAGTTATTTCCTTACCGTTTGGGGCTGAAAATTGCGTGAAAACGTACAAAATACACGAAAAATATATACAGATTCTTTATGTACACATGTCACATGAATACACCTAATTTGCACCTAATGTTCAAAATTTTTGAGTCCTTTTTTAGAGTCAAAATTAGTCAAGTGTGGTCAAAATATAGTAGCAATTATTTGCTTGCTTGCAGTTCTGACGCAGGTGAGACGTTCATCAGACCGAAGTTCAAGTTGTAATTTGGTTGTAATGCACCTTTGGTGATAATTGGGGGTTGAAAATGAAGTCTCCTGAAATAAAGTGAATCAGAAAAGCTGAAAAAACTATCAATAAATCGAATTTGACACGGATTGATTGAAATATATTGGGCCGGTTCGTGTGTGTAAAATTGGCAGCCCCTTTGCAAAGGGAAACCTTTGCGCTCGGGTGGCTTCCCTTCACCCCTTTTACAGCCCTCTTCCCACCCCTTCTTCCGCTGTCATTGCAGCCTCCGGGTTTCCTCGATTTATCTACACTGCCTCAGTCATCATCTCTTCTCTTGTAAACCAATAGCTATATCATATTTCACCTGACTCTCATCCCGGCCCGCCCTACACAGACCAACACCCCTCCAGATCAGAAAACACAGGCACGGTATTCACAGGTTGGTTTATTGGCCGGGCCCGGTCTCCACGCCGGCCGCGACGGGGCCGCCACGAGCCGGCCTCCGCCACCGCCGCAGCGTATAAAAGAAGCAACAATCCAGATCACACACGCCACGCCCGACAGCGAGCGGCCGACCGCCCCCGCCCCGCTCCGCAGCCCCCCTGGCCGGACACGGGAGCTGGACCCCGAGCGGGTGACCAGCCGCGGATGACAGGGGTCCACTGGCGCGCCACGATATCAAATAAATCTCCTCCATCCAGCAACAGAACAAGTTAGCAGCAGTTTCGCAGTCACATTCACAGTCGCCTGGCGGGGGCGGGGACGGGGGCGGGGGCGGTCGGCCGCAGCCCGGGCGGGGGCGGCGCGGCGGGGCCCACAACAGAGCGGTTTGCACACTTCCTATGTACAGACATGGCGGGGACGCTCGCACTCACATACACACACACGCAGGACGCGGCCACTAGCCGACCGGTCCACGCTCGGATTCCGTTCTCTCCCCTGTTGAGCACGTTAGTTTCAAGGCGGATCACGCTTCAACGCACTACGCTACATAATATAAAGTTACCTGCAAAAGGGCGACGCGGCGCGGTACGACCATCTGATTAGCGGCTCGCTGCCTTCGTCGAAAATCGTAACAAGGCTGGGCCGAACTCCGCGGCTCCCGTAACGACGCTAGGGCCTCGCGGCGCCGCATGCGTGATTGTGAGTGGGTCCTACGCCTACTGCCGAGCCGTAGCTACGGGCGACTACGCGGTCAGTTTGGCTTGGAAGACGCAGCAGCCACCGTCTCCCGCCTGTCTTTCGTTTAGTCGCGGGAGGCAGTCGCACACACATCACACTCGGCACGCCCAAGACGGGCGGCCCTCGTCAGCAGCCGCTCAGTCAGACAGAGGTCAGGTCGGGTCAGATCGGGTCAGGAGAGCGCGGCGGGCGCGGCGCGGCGAGCTGTCTGCACACTGTTCGCTCACAGAGCCGGCGGCGGCGGCTCGGCGGATTGTTTCGTCTGTGACCTATCGTTCAGCGCTGCCGGCGCGGCGGCGCGGGGCGACACTAGCGCCGCGGCACTGCGGCGGCGAGTCGAGGCACTGCTGGTGGCACGCGGCGTCCCCGTTAGATGGGGCGGGTGAAGTTGGCGGGGAACAGACCCTTCTGACCGGTGGACTCCTTCACTCCCATCAGCCAGCCCTCCTCCTGAAAGACAGAGAGAAAGAGTGGGGTCAGGACATAACACGACAGCGCGCTACTTACAGTGTGCATAGATTTAGCAAGACCTCCATGAGGAAAATTTCTTAGACGTGATTATATTACACGGACGAGAGCACGAGCTGTTTGTATTTGTTCGTGATCCAAGTCACGCATGGCATAGAATAATTGTCTTTGATCTTCGAGATCTAGCCTCGCATACGAAGCCCACAAAACAGGACACCAGCACGATCTCATCAACCCTCAAACATCACTGCCCATCGTATGGTCCTTTCAACTTCTCGCCGCCTCATGGCACCCCATCCCTCGTCCTAGTAACACCTAACCCACCACACGGTCTCTCTCTCTCTCTCTCTCTCTCTCTCTCTCTCTCTCTCTCTCTCTCTCTCTCTCTCTCTCTCTCTCTCTCTCTCTCTCTCGCTCTCTCCTCCGGCGTCCCGTTGACCTCACCTGTTCCTCCTGATCGTCATACTCCACCACCTGAATACACTCGGCCACCTCGAAACTGAGCTCGTCAGCGTCCTCGGCCTGGTACTTGTAGGCGGCCTTCACCCGGTACAGCACTCCTGGGGGCAGGTTATCCGTGGTGGCCCCTGCGGCAGCGACGGATAGAGGGCTAGTGAGACAGTGAATGAGAGACGGGTTGGCAATGAGCGAAGAGAGGCCTGAATAGAGGAAGCAAATGAGGGGAGCAGCGAGGAATCTATGTCGAAGACTGATAGAATCGAGAAGCGAAAATACAGGTCAAGGTGGAGGTTCTAAAATACGGTGAAGCTGGAGCAACTGATCAGACATACAGGACAAAAGTACTCTCTTCGCTGACTTCTCACTTGAATAGGCACTGCGTGACTAATTTGTATTCAACGAAAAAAGCAGCTAGTTCACAACACTAACAGTATCAGTAGAAGCAGCAGAACTCAGAAATCTACCAGCAGGTCCACTACAGGGTCCCAACCCCCACCCACAACTGACCGGCGGCGCCCCCTCCCGTCCCTCCCTCCGCCGGCCCGCCACCTACCGACGGGAATGTCGTAGAGCTCCTCCGGGCGCACCTTGGCGCCCCCGTTGAGAGAGGCGCGCGCCGCACCTGGCGGGAGCACAGAGCCGGCCGCTCACTAGGGCGCCCACCGGGCCGGGACGGGAGGGGAGGGAGGGGCGCCGCCGTGGGAGCTAAGGGAACTGTCGGGGCCATCAGCACACAACAAACGGGCCAATGGTGAGGGGTTATAGGTTGCTGAAGGACTGATATCTCAAGGAGGTGAGCGGTGCTGACAACGCATGTGTAGTGTGAACGCAATGTGAATAAGGCAGGGTTAAAAACGGCAAAAATTAGCACACAACGCTAAGTGAGGCGCTCACAAACGGAGCATGCTCGGCGGGAACTGGAGGCAAGTGGGTATTGGGGATACGAGACCAGCAGACGCAGGGTAAGCAAACCCTCCGCCAATACGGGGCAGGGCAGCGAAGCAGACACACACACACTAAGACATACGCCTTGGAAAGACATACGCCTTGGAAACTGGACGGTCCGCCGACGTACTGGTTGACGGGCATGCTAGCTAGTGCATGAATACACGGTTAGGCGGGGTAAGACAAAACAAACACTCATAGATTCATACAACCAGTTCCCCTAGCAACACAAAACAGCGGATATTTATGTAAATGTGCGCCACGATGTCTTCCGTGCATTCACAGAAAACATGAAAAATAAGTCGGCATTCCGCTTACACTACAGAAGGATAACGGAGAGTCATGCGCTTTGATGACTACACCCGATTCAAGCGTCATTTCCAACAGCGGCCTAGCATTTCAGCTGAGCTATCCCTCTTCATCGCGCCGTATAAGGGCCGTGAAACTAGGCGAATGGTGTAAGCGTGAGACAAAACAATATTTCTGGTTCAGGGGAGTAACCACAAGTGAAGTCAATCGGAGCTGACTGCGAGCATATGTCGATCACTAGGGACTATTCTCGGTAGAAATCACAAGCTCGTGGGTGTGACCACATCAAGATGCTACATCGCAACGCAGCATTTCGACGAAGTTCGAAGCGCAACCGAAAACGTCTACAAACTGGAACAAACTGGAGACCAATTTAACGAATTTCTGAAAACGCTGCATTCACGACCTCATAAAATCAGAAAATTACATTGAAATTTCGAGCTTCCAGCTCGAAATTTTGCGCGCCTTCTACGGCCATGCTCCCCAGCAATCAGGCTAAAATGCTGAGGGAGGGGGGGGGGAATGCCGCCGCGTCATTTGGTGGTTTTACCGGCAAATGGCGGGCAAAAGCGGTGCGAGACGTAGTCCGATGAGTACACACTACGCAAATCAGCAAAGAGCATGCAAATGATAGAAGGCGCAGGAAATGCTTCATATGAAAAGGCATTTCTATAAACTAAGTGGCATGCCTTCTTGTGCATTAATCCAAGTTCGTTACGGATAATTGTACTGCTACAGTCAAATTGAAAACTTCAGCTTCTGCTGCACTAAACGACTAAACTGCAATCACGGCATCATCAATCACATTCAAGTCTCCGCCATATGAGGATGATCTCCATGCATTTCTAGAACAAATGGGATCGACTGCAATCTATTACTTCTTTGCCACACGGATACCACGCTATACACTGGTCAAGGTGTCGCTATATAAAGGCTAGGGTGGTCACTCATGGTCAGGATACTACCACAACACTCACAAACACCACAGGGCAGCAGCACTGTTACAGACCGGCTATATAACTACTGCTACTAAAACCACACGTTAGCCAACTGCAGGGGTTCACGCTGCAAGGATCACAACAAACTACTGCGGACCACCCGAGACCACTCGGGACCACATCAAACCACTATCAGACCACCCAGGATCAGACAGGACCTGTCCAGCGCTCGGACGCCGCGCAGCCCTCTCAGCCGGCCCGGGTCAGTCAGCACACTCACCGGACGGCACGTCTCCGTTGAAGTCGCCGTTCTCCTTCTTATAGGAGATCTCCTCGTAGGGTCGCGGGTCCTCCCTGTTTGACTTGTTCCTGTCAAGAGAGCCGTCCGCGTCAGCCGCTGGCGAGCCTCCAGCGCGGGCGGCCGGCGGCGAGGCGTCCGTCTCCGGCACGCTGGGGAGGGAGGGGTACACTCCTGATACCGTGGACGGCTCGGGCTCGGCCACCGGCGCCGACCGCTCGGCCGGCTCCTCGCCCGCCTCGGGTGTGCGCGGCGGCTTGGGCGGCGGCTCGGTCTGCGCGCCGAGCGCCGGCCCGTCAGCGGAGGAGCGAGCGCTGGCCGCCACCTCTCCGGGCGAGCGGTCCGCCTCCGCGGCCGCCGGAGAGGGCGACGCCTGCTCGGCGCCGGGCGAGTCACCTTCGCTGGAACGAGCGGCCTCGGTCAGCGCGGCATGCGGCGGCGGGGGCGGCGCGGGCGACACCTCGAGGATCTGCTCGCCGCTGTCGTAAGGCGGCGGCGGTGAGGAGGGGATGGGCGGCGGCGGCGGCGTGGGCGCGCCCGGCCGCGGACTCTCCAGGAAGGGGTTGTGCCGGCGCCGCTGGCGGTGCGGTGACGCGCCGGCCGCCGGCTGACGGAACGGGTTCGTGTCCGGTCCGGCGCCGTCCCCGCCGTCCGCCGCGCCCGGCTCGTGCGGCGTCGACGGTGACGACACGTGGAAGGTGGCGGCGCGCGCCACAGTGGGCCGCGTCGGCGGCCGCTCCTGGTGCCGCACAGAGAGCCGCTTGGTGAGCGCCGTCAGCGTCTGCCGGATCCCCGCCGAGCCGCCGGAGCCGCCGGCCGCGCTGGCGCCGGGCCGCACCAGGCGTACGTCGTCCTGACCGCTGCGTGCGCACGCCGCCGGCAGACAGAGAGGGAGACACACAGGCACACGAGGGGGGCGGGCGTTAGCCGGACATGCAGCGAGCGGGCCGCGCCGGCCTCGAGTCGTGGAGGGGCGCGCACACCGTACAACTGGCGACAGCGAGCTGGCGGGGGGGGGGGGGGGCTGACACCGACTGGCGGGGACTGAGGCCATGCAGGTAGGTGCGGGACAGAGCAGGGAGATACAGAATATTATAGATGCCGGATACGGACAGGATAGAAGCGGATGAGACAGGCAGCGCTAGCTAGCTGCACACAGACAACACCACTACACCGATAGCCCCGCTACAAACACAGCTTTTATAATGCACCACCTGTTTGTGATATCCAGCACAGAACTCCAAGTAGACAAGTTCTGCAACGACAGTAGTTTGAACTGAAGTTTCTCTCCAATCACCCAGCTGGTTAGCAAACTAGATCTCGCATGCAGAGAGAAGTTGCAACTACCGAGCGCCGAAAAGCCCCAATATCACGTCCAGTCACAGCAAGCATTGGAGCCCCGCATTCACCCCCACCACAGGCTGCCATGGCCCGCCGCCCAGCAGACCCGGGAACTGTAAAAACGTCCAATGACAGAGCACACCTTACTCCGGCAGCATGCGACACGCGACACCTTGGATTGGAGTGAGAACTACTGCAGAGCCGGCTACTGCGATGGCCGATGTTTGAACAACTCATCTGCCCGGGAGGACACGGTGTATCTGAGGAACAATGTCCCTGAATAGATACGAATATTCCATCGCAGGAGTGAATAATAATATCGAATCAACAAGAAATTCATATCCGGCCGAGCAGTGTACGCATCTGTGCCATAAGGCGACGAATGATAACGAATCGTTTCTCAGTGATAAACATTAGTTACAAATGCAGTAGATGTTCAGCTGCCTTTGCGCTTCGACCGGGCAGTCACTGGCCAGACAAAACAAAACCAATTCCTGCACGTCAGCACAGAGCACCTGATTAAAACCGAGCGATTCCTGCTTCGTAACGCAACAGTGCGGAAACATAAGCACACATTTCAATGAATGCGCATCCAGCGACTTTCTTTGCCTTTTTAAATCTTCGTCACTTAGAAAACATGATACCACTAACTACTAAGGATAAAAATGCATTTGACGATACCTTAAAATGAGAATAACTTGTGAAAATACAACATCATCAGCAAATGCCATTCATCATAAAATCACTGGCAACAATTTATGCTCAAATCTATGAAACAGAGCGTCCAAGAGGGTTAAAGAAATGAAATGCTAAAATTATCGAAAACCATGCCAGGTGAGGGGTACAACAAGAATGAGAAATTAGAGCAGCGAAACAGAGTTCATGCACAAAAAGATCCAGATTCAGTCAGCGCTAAAGCGTTCACTAACAAATAGATCAGTAACACCAATCACATCGTTGCGAGACAGACGACAAAGAACAAAAGCTAGGCAAGACATGCAAGTGAGAGCTCGCAAACCGATTGTCTAGGAACGATTCATCTTCGAAACGCTCTAGGTAGAAATTAAGAACAGGTCAAGATGCATGCGAGCTGGCACATTTCAGAACACTTGGGAGGTTTGAAAGCTCGGAAACACTCAGCTGTGCAAAATATAACTTAAAAGGAGTCAACTTCATCCAAGTATTGTGTGAAATGTGCCAGCTCACAACGCCACAACAAGAAACACCACCAGTGTTGTGCGCGGTAGCCGAGGCACGCCAATTGTTAAACCATCGTCCGGACGGTTGGCCAAACGCAGACGGACGAAGACGAAGACGCGGGCCAAGACTGACGGAGACGGAGACGGAGACGGGCCGGACGGACGAACGTTCCCAGACATCGGCGACGGCCGGGCGCCGGCACACACCCCAGCGGAGAGAGGACACGGCGGGACGGGAGCGGGGAGGTGAGAGGGCCGGACGGTAGGGGACGAGAGGACGGCCAGGGAGAGATATAGAGAGGGTTTGGAGAGGAGGGAGCGCGGAGAGCCAGTTCGAGGTGCCAACCGGGTCACTACCACACTGATATAAAGGTCTGGACACATATAGACAGGGCAGGGAGGGCAGTGACTAACAGGGTGCCTACTGCCTAACATTCAAGGGTAGTGCACACAAATACACACCACCGCGACGGTGTTGGTTGAGCGAACCATTCCAGGTCGTAATGAAAATTAAAACAGCGCGCGGCAAGACCATGCAATCGAGTGAGTGAGCCAGCCAGTGAGAAACAAGAGCCTAACAACTGAATCTGAGACTGCGGTCTAACGTTAATCAGTGTTTACGCTCGCAGTGGCAAACGCGACGCGCACGCATGAAGTATTCACACAGCGTCGGGGCGAACACTTACGTGGGCGAGGCGGGCGTCGGCGCCGTCGGCGATTTGGGCGACTTGGGAACGTTGCGCCGCGTCGTATACTTGCCCGTGTTGGAGTCCTTCTGTAGTGCATCCATCACAGACTCGAGCTCCAACTGTACCTGTGGGTAGGATGCCGTCCCGTTCAGCACCAGACAGACAGAGAGGCAGCGGCTCCGTAACCCAGACAGCAAGCGACGCACCAGGCTTGAAAGCTTTCGGCTTCACGGCCCCAAGCATTGCTGATACCCACAGTAATATGTGAACGAGTTGTATTCCCAATGCTGCTGATTTTTATCCAATGTAAGTTGTAACGTTTGTAAAGCACGGCAACGATGATCGCAGAGATGAAGCAAGGCAGCGGCAGAATTGATAGCAATAGGTAGAGATAGCCAAGCCTTACCAGCCCTCGCTCTCATCCATGACACCCCATAACTGAGTCAATTCACGGGGTACAGATATTAGTCCACCGGGGTACACACAGAGTGCGCCATCCGCCGCGGTGCAGGGGGCGGTACAGAGTGCGTAGTACAGCCGGAGTACAGGGGATAGTACCGTCACCGTAGAGTACCACCTCAGACCACCGGCCGGGCACCGCCGGGCCGTCCGATCATTGCCGCAGACACGCTGCCGACAGCGGGCACAGCACGAGGGAGACGCCGTCACCGCGAGCTAGGCACCAACGTAGTAGCCCTGTCCGCGGGAGACAGGGTGGCAGGCCGGCACCAGTCGGCTGGAGAGCAGACAGACAGACAAACGGGAAGGGAGGGGCGGGCCGGGGGGCTATTTCCATGGTATATCCTGTGGCTAAAGTAGCTGGAGAGACTGGGGGTGGATTATATCCATGGTATGATCCCTAGGGGTTAAGGAACTGGAGCACCCAGGGAGTTATATCCAGGGTTGGCAAGGGTCAGGTGAAATGTTAGGGACTGGAGATGCTATATTCAGGGTTGGCTGGGGCCACAGAGGGTTGGTAGGGGCACTATATCCAGGGTTGCCGGGGGGTATGGGCCAGGGGCGAGTCAGGGTGATGTGAGTAGACATGGTCCGACAGACAGCAGCGCGCAGTCGGTCGGCGGGCGCGGCACAGCGACAGAGCCGAGGAAGAAATAGCTCACATGCTCCGATACCTTGGCCGCCTCCGTGTGGAAGTTATTCTCTGCCATGAACAGCGTTTGCATGTTCGACACCAAGAATGGTATCCTGTAACAGACCAGGAGGGGGGGGGGGGGGCACATCATTAGGACACTTATCCAGACCAGAGGAATGTTGGCGTTATGCGCGGCGGGTGATCTTACCTATTGGTGTGATCTTACAGACTAATGGTACAAAAGGTATCATCCTCGTTCGGATCCACTTCAGATAAAAACACTTAACAACTTTCCAGAGACAAACAAGAAAAACAAACACTTCAACTCAGAATTTCAAAAAGTGAAGACTGTAACAATCTTATCCTCTGTTCCAACCCCTTCGCAACCACCAAACATACCTCCCCCGTTGTCTCTCTCCCCTCCCGTCCCGTTCGTAGCTCCGCACCTCGAGTCGTAGAGTGCCGGCAGCTCGTCGTACAGCTCGTTGTTCATGACCTCGAAGGTGCGCCGCGCCTCCTCCAGCACCTCGTGCTGCTTGGCGATCTTGGTCTGGTCGCGCTTCTTGGTGTTATTCTGCAGTGCCTCGTAGTTGTGCCGGTGGCTGTCGTAGTCGACCAGCTTCCGGCCGCGCTTCTCAACTTTCCTCTGTAGAATGGAAAGAGAGAGGGATGTGCGTCAGATAACAGTACATAGTCATACGTCCCACATTTAGATTCTGTCAGGGAGTTGAAGGGTGCAATGTACATGCCATGCGACACTGCGAGCTCCCTGACCATTTCGCTCAGTAACAGAGCTTGAGAGGGAGACGTCAGGTCTTATTATCGAGATTAACCTTTTACACTTATGGATATCGATCGAAGAAGATGGGAGGCATACAAACCACACAACAATCATTACATTGTTCTTGGGGAGTGGGATGGGAAATGAAGCAGACGGGTCACACCCACAACCTTTCTAGAGTCCCCGTGATAAAACGAAGATAAGAGCGTGCATAGTTATAGATTCCATATGTTTTAGCTCCGAAAAAAAACTGCCAGACATGGGATATCAAGTCGACACACTTTATGGACGTTGCACATATGATTCTTGACATTATCGGGAGGAAAAACTGGCGGGGGACGAGGGGAGGGAAAGTGAGCGGCGAAACATTGGAAATATGAGACGACGCGGTTGAATCACGCATGTTACAAAATACAACACAACCTGTTTGTCGATTCGCCTACAATCTACCCATACACTAACCATCCTTCCTTCCGTCCGCACACGCTTTCATCCCCTCATATCACCTCCGCGTCAGGGCCTTGCGGAGTCATAACCACCAGCGATTTCGAGCCGCGGTGTTACCACGGAATTTATCCACCAGCCCCGGTCGAGACGGCGCCTCGCTCGTCACGGTAGTGCTCCCCAGCCTCGCGAGCGGCTTAACGTCGGCGATTCAGGACGGGAAGAAGGCCGGTCGGCGCTGGCAAGGAGGGAAGGACGCCGCCGCCGCCGCTACCTACAGCAGCCGCCAGCTGGCAGTAGGCCCGGAGACAGTTTCAATTTTTCCGGGCCGTCCGACGCCCGGCTGAGCCGCATTCTGGGCGCTCAAGGAGCCGGGCAGCCGCCGCGCGCGGTAAATGGGCTCTGCTGAATGGGAATACCGAGAGGGGGAATATGGGGTGGTGAGGGGGAGGAAAGTGACCGTCACCGGGCTTCTCAGCAGCTGGGGAGCGCATAAAATAGTAATGCATTCCAGCCTGGCACACCGAGCCAACATATTTAGACCAAGTAATCCGGTCTATCGCAACAGCATGAGTTGACCTCAAATGTGCGGTAAGCCCCGTTTAACCTGCATACAAGATGTAACTGCGTGTGACAGTAGCTTATGTAGGAACTAGGATTGAATTCACAATGGTTTTATCAAAGAAACATACCCAAGGTCAAGTTGCATATTAAGCCAAGGTCATGCTAAAACGAAGAGCCGCCTGGATAATTCAACAATCTAACTATATAGCTTCGATATCACAGATTTCAGCCAAACCCAGGCAGAACAGTCGTTTTGTTCTTGTCCACTGATGCATTACTATTCACTGCCATTGTGGACAAGTAAGATTGACTTTGGGGAATGAGAACAATAGCACTGCTAGCAGTGAATGGTAAATTACAAGTTGTATGGCAATTCAGGCGATCAAGCCAAAGTAAAAGGTAGCATGTGGTCACCAACCAGGCACTACAGGCTGAATGTTTGCAATGTTAAATCGGCAAAGGAGCCCACAGTTCAACTGAAAAAAATGGAGCAAATTTTTACGATTGTAGCCCGATAGTTCCTTGCCTACGCACCTAAAACACTTGACCAATTAAACACAAACCGCAACAAACATTACTATCAGGATTACTATTGCGAGGCCTGAGTGACCACTGACCAGTGAAGAATGCACAAACACTCAACAGCTCTTCACACTTGGGAATTCACTGCACACACACTTGAACACCGTCACCCATTCTGTGTACACAGAACGACTATCACCTCCGACCAAAGCCCGACCACAAACCACACAGCACACACTCAGTTACCATAACACACGGTTATGCCCAGCCAGCACGACACTGGGGAATAGATAGGACGGGGCGTAGCCGGCAGGAAAACATCCCACTCGGTCACAGCCGCAACCTCAGGGAGGCCATTCGCCGGTGCGTGGTGCGAAACAGTCGTTAGGTTTTCTTCTGCGCCCAGGAATCCAACACGATCACGGCATCCCACGGATCTGCTCCATTTGGGTAAAACACATTCAGCCCCTTATCCTATTCCGATCCCCATTCCCAAATTATTACCCCACAGCCCCGCGATACACCCTAACGCGGCGGTCGATGTGAGGTACGTACCCGCACTTCTGGGAACTGTGAGCTGTAGGTATTGAGCGGCTCGAGCACCTGGTCGGACAGTTTGTGACAGTAGTCGGCCCAGAGCAGCTCGAGCTCACGCGCCTGCCGCTCCAGTCGGTCTCGGTCCGACCATTCTGGCTCGTACATGTCGTATATGGTGTCCATCAGGGATTTGTTGGCCGCCTGCATCGCTGTAGAAGCGGAGAGGATCGTCAGATGCATGAAGAAAAATCGTCATGCGAGGGAGGGAAAAAATTCCGACGCTTGGAGAAAATCGTCAGGGGGGAGGGCAAAATCGCCAGGAGGGGAGAAGACCTAGATAACAAATCGTCATAAAATGTTTGAATCAGCTGAGATAGGCTTTGGTGCAAACATGAGATTGATCATCAAAAGGTTCAATCTCATGTTTGAAAAAAAATGACTCGAACTGCCGCATCACTTCTCGACAAACTTCAGCATGATGCAGGGAAAATCCAGACAAAAAAGATAAAAATGTTCCGACAACTGACAAACATGTCACATATGGGTGGCGCATGTTCGCAGATACGTCAACAAAGTAAACACAACTCGTTAGATATCATCTGAACAAGAGACTTGCGTGTTACGTGCTTGCAAATTGCAGCATTACGAGCACTGATACAACAGTGCGCCATTCATCGGTACCTTTTGCATCTTGTAGGGTTTAATTGTAAAAAGATGTGTATTTTTAACATCCATTTTCTAGCAATGAGCCCAATTCCCGTAACCACTCCCACTCTTTCAGTGCAACCAGGTCTACAGATCAGTCAGCAGCTCTACCAGCTCCACGACTACAATACATCCAATGATATTAAATATACACTCAACAGTACACCAACGGACTCGAGACCCTCCGTGTCATCATATCAATCAGTCAGTAACCCTAGCAGCTGTAGCACAACAACGGATACGAACTCTACGAACCCACTGTACACCCACGAATATAAAGCTCTCGTTGGCATTGATAAGGTAACTCTACCCGCACCAGTGTTCCAAAAGCCCGACTCAGGTGAGTCTGTTTCCACCATTAACGGATACGTATCTATATAGACACATGACATCGGTTCGGAAAAGGCAAGGAAGGGTAGGGCGGGAACGGACAGAACGGGTTACGCTATGGAACCAGATGAATGGATGGAAGCTCCGGTAGAAATGGAGGTTATTACGCTCCCCAAAGCACGGATCCGCGCCACAGGTGCCGCCCGCCGTTCAGTGAGCGCTGGGTGCTGAGGTCGGGCGCTGAGTGGGTTGCTGCAACTTCAACCAGCGCCCTCCCACCACCCACCTTTCGCGCAGCGGACATAGTTGGCCATCTCCTTCTGGAGCCGGTTGGCCTGGCCCTGTTGCCGGCCGAAGTTGTGGACGTAGTCATCGAACACCTCATCTGTGGTTCGGTCAGCCTTGCCGAGGTTCTGGAGGATCTGTCGGACAGAGACGGGGTGTCAGTGAGGGGTCGGACGTATCTATGTGCACAGCAAAATCAGCTACACATACACGGAAGTACAGCCGACGAATACAGCGACAGGCACCGGCTATATCGTACAAGAGACAAAGGGCGTCACGTAGTAATCATATCAAGAGGTCCACCTCCCACAGTGAGAAGTGTACACTGGCACGTGCAGATCGTGTGGCGCTCACTGCAGTCAGTGACCTATTCGATGCTAATCGGAGCTTCAATCAACGTGGCCAGCCGAACGGTCATCAGTCTTCCGTCCCACCGACAACCGACCACCCAGTCTCTGATACACGCTAGAGCAGGGTTGGGGCACGTCATCAACCCGAACTACCGAGTGCAAGGTTAGATGGCGTCCAAAAGGACAGAGATGCGACCCGATGCCCCGAATCACTGAGCGCAAGGCCCGAGGGCGTCCCAGAGGACATGATATCTCTCTCAGATCATCGCCCGTCCGCGGCTGACAACTCACAGCGGAGTCCTTGCCAACTGACAGCGGATGACTAACATTGATAATAGACAGGCGTACCACCCTTCCCCAGCTGCAAATACCGATCAAACCTCTGTGCGTGTGGTGCAGATTGGCACGATCATGAGCTTATGATGGACGCATGGTCAGCAAATCACACCCTGATATAGATTCTCCGACAGTAAATCAAACACGCACCCGCCGTACCCCCTGCCTTGCCAAGACATCCATTATGCCAGGCGAACGTGAGCTTGTTTTCAGACAGATCACTGGCTCTATGATTTGACAGCTCCGTCCCAAACGAGGCAATCAACCAGAAACGTTTCCATCAGAGCTGCCAGATTTATTTCCAGGACGAATGACTCGGCCGCAACCAGTCTGTCAGTTGGTGCCAGCACCGCCATTTATCAGGTCCGGGGGTACAGCAGAAGTTATCGGACTTTGCCCCACCAGCGCACACTGGGCCGGGGGTCCGGAAAAGTGCTAGAAATTATTTGTGATTGAGTTGTTGATCTCAGTGACAAGCAAACATGCTAAAAACGAAGTGGGGCTGCTTAACCCTCGCCGGACCTATTGTCGGACCCCCCACCCCCTCGGCCGGCCGAGGGGGGAGGGTTGGTACGACCCCTTTTTGCCGTTTCGCCCCTAATGGAGCTAGAGCCTCGCGGAAAAAACAAGCGTGTGCGCCGTTTCAAGGCGGAACGATTGATACCCGATTTTAAGGTCCCAGGTCAACCGGTAACCTCTGAGGTGAAGTCAAAAAGCCCAAGGTAGGGTTTGGTTTTTGGCAAATAATTTCGCAAAAAATGGCCGCAGAGCAGCGATTTTGGCACCATCGTGTTCGCCTGGCTTAGGCGCGTCGAATGGTATACTTTTTGTTCGGGTGAGGTCAACTTAAGGTATTGACCTCGAGTCAAGGTCAGTTCAGAGCCCATCAGGCCACGAACTTAATCGAAGGAGGTCGTATCGCATATCATTCGATTCGGGAGGTCTTCGCGAGTCCATTGGTGGCTTTCCCGAGTCGCTGGCTCAATTTGATCATGAGTTATTGACGAGAAACTCCTATGACCGGTGTGACGTCATAAATGACGTCACGGAAGGTCAAAAATGCAAAGGTAAAGCATCGGATCTTGCAAGGAGTGCACGAATTCACGATTCCGTGTGCTTTACATAGTTTGAAATCATTCCATGCGCAAAAACAACAGTTTCCTTATTTCCCCATTCACTTTTAATGGTGAGGTCACGTGACCTCGAAGAGTAGCAGGCATTAGCAAAAATTGCGAGTAGGGCATGACAGAAAGATGATTGGTGGTTTGTATGGCATGGCCATTTTTAGCGGCTCGAAATAACATTTCTCAAAAAGTCTAACTAAAGAGCAAGTTGTTGTTAATTATCACTGACTTGTGTTTAGGGGTTAATAATGACTGAATTTTTTAGTTTGGCCCAGAAATGTTGACAGCATTGTGTGCGTTGATCAATTCTGAGCTCAGGGACATATATTTTATTTAGATTATAAGCGTTTGTTTTTCACAACTTCCAGCGTTTTAAAGAGCGTCGGGCCTTCAGTAGAGCTTCGAGGTGACAATTGCCCCTACATCATGTGGTTTACTGGCGCATATCTCGAAAAGTAGCAGGGAAAAGCAGCAAAGCACCTATATGGAACAAAAGATGAGTAATCAGAGGCTAGTATAAAATGTTCATTTTTAGCCGCTCGAAATAACGTTTTTATAAAAGTCTAATCAAAAAATTGGATATGATTTTAAATTACGTCTTGCAGCTGCTTGCAAACAGCTAGCTTATCTTGCAGAAAAGCAATGCAATATGTCAGAATGATGTTGGCACAGTGAACAACAGTGCCCTGAACTAGTCTGACAGGAAATTTCGTTCAAAACGACGATTGGTCAACTAATAAATTACCACTAAAGTTCATCATTAAAATCGGTAAATGTGGTGCCCTATAGAGAGTCTAAATTGTCTTGTGTTTGGTGACAACTGACGAGCTCAATTTTGACCTTAGGGCAAAACTAGCATCGGAATCGTATTCTTCGATCAATTTGGGATTAAATGATACCTATTTTGTTCATATCGCGGACAGTCAGTTTGGGGGAATTTCTAGCGCTTTTTCAGGCTGCCGGCCTACAGTGCAGCGGTCTCCACAGGAGTCTGACAGACCCGATGCAGGTCCGACGAATGCGGCGCGTGCACGACAGAGGAATTGATGACCGCGTCTGCTCCACTGAGGTAAGGCGGTCACCCGTGGCAGCGACAAACGGCTTCCCATCGCCCGCCGGGCAGCAGGCAGGCGAGGCCAACTGTCTGCTGCCAGCTACTGTCAGGTGCCGAATGACAGCCCACACCAGACTACCAAATTACACACCAGAATGCGCTGTTACCAAGGTAATTCGTATTACCAGGCCTTTGTGGTCTACATGAGCAGCAAATTCACATAAAAGATAAAAAAATGTTTGTGATGATGAGGAGCCGCAATCGCCACGCTTTATGTGGAAGGCTTTTGATGTCAATGCATAAATACACACATACATACATACATACATACATACATACATACATACATGAGTGGCTTGGAGCACTCGGACTGCTTAGGTATGCTTTCAAAAAGGAAGAAAAAATCAGGTAGGCAGGCTAACGACAACTGACACCAGGATTATAACGGATTATGAATGACAAAGTTTAGCCATCTCAAGTACCAGAGGTCAAGATTTACTTCATCCTACCACATCGACTCATAATAAGTGACAGTTTCATGCCCGAGCGGCAGCGGTGATGGTGCCAACTCCCGACTGACGTCCCTCCCCACTCCTCTCCCTCTCCGGCTGGCGACGTCAACCACCAACAGATGGCGACACCAGGAGGCCACCTCACGTGAAACCCATCAGCGGCACCGCTACTCCTCTCAGTGGCCGAGATGAGACAACGGGGAGGCGCGTCGGTCACCGCTACTCGCCCCCGGCCCGGCGGCGGACAAAACAAAACGGAAACGGAAACGGTCGCTCGTGCTGCTCCGTAGACACGAGCGACAGTCAAGGGCTGCTCTGTGGAAGCTGTCGAAACAGAGCGAAGCAGTGCGATATCGTTGGTCTTTGCTCAGCGGGTCCGTCTAATTTCAACCAGAACGTGTCTTTACGGAAACTATGCAAGCGCCAGCTGTGTCCAAATCATGTCATCAGCGAGTGTCAAATGTGTTGTTGGCATTTGCCTTGTTCCGTTCCTGTAGTGGCTTGTGACCGGTTTATTAGCGAGGAAAAGTCACAAAAAACAGCCAGTAAAACAAAACGTTCAGCTAAATCGGATTGCCTGTTCCACAAATCCCTCACTGTTGCCAGCCGCTAGGCGAGTGTGCGGTTCTGTGGTAATCCTAGACACCACCAAACGGGTGATGTGATACCGCCAGTTATGTTCCGCTACTGGATCACAAAAGTGAGCGCACCAGTGCCATTTTTTGTCAGTCAGCCAGTCACAGGCCTCTCCTCGCCATGTTGGCTGGAGTTCAGTTTCGCCGCGTTCTTCTGTCCCCCAGTGACGTCACTCAGTGCTGACGTCACTGGGGTAAGGAGGGACGGGCAGACGGCCCCAGTCCGGTGGAGCCACCTGTCACGGGCAGGGGGCGGTCGACCTTGCGTCGAATGGGTACCGCCCACCTGTGCCCACGGTCCCCGCCCACGCACACAGTGAGGCTGACGCAGACAGGCACAAAGACAGACAGACAGGCAGACTGACGGACACCCGAATACAAACCACAGGGCGGGGTTACATGACTAAGAACCCGCACCAGGCAGGAGCGTACCGAAAGCGCACTGAAACGCAGCTACGCCACGCAAAGCAGAACCCAAAACCATCTGGGTCCGTTCAGCACAACTCGCTTCCCCGCTCAATCCAGACATGATTCAGGCAAGGTGGTGGGAGCCGGACCAGTGCGGCAACTCGGTCCTCCCACAGTTCCAGGTGACATCACATCTGATAGGCATGCCGGTCTGAAACGAGCCCTGGCCGCCCACCCAAGCAGGCATGGAGAAGGAAAAGCTCCGAACAGACGGTTACAAGGCGGGGCACGGGTCTCAACTCTATGCACACTACAGACTACGGAGTCTGCAAAATACATATCTAGCAAGACGCCACTGGACGCAACTGTAAAACGCAGAGTCGTAAAGAAGAATGACTGATAGTACGGTCAGCGGCTGGTGAGCGCATGCCTGGTGCCGGCCGTGAGGTCCACTACAGACCGGTTCGGCCGGTCACCGGCACCACACCGAGAGCTGCACGGTGTATGCGGCGCCACGGACCACGGCCAGCACCCGGGGCCGCTGAGCTGAGAGCAAGCCGGAACGGCACTGCTCGGATGGGTACCGACGGCTCACAGCCCGGCGGGCGGTGCATCAGTATGTCCTTTCAGGCTAATTTAGGTGAACTTGGTGTAGCACAGTTCAGTGCTAATCGACTCATTGTAGCCCCTGCGCATTACACAGGCCCTGCCGTTACCG